ACAAATGAATCTATTTATGATCCCGCACGAGAATAAACACGCTGCAAACTCAACTCATATTCTCATGCTGTTTTTTTCTCCTGCGCTCGAAATGAAAAGTTTGAAAGTGGTCCTCGACGAACAACGAACAATCACACAAAAGTCTGCGATATTTTTTCTCTCTCTGTTTCACTGAGTTCTTAGCCCACATCGTGATGCGGATAGAGTTTTCTGAACAGTAGTCCTCATTGGGCAATACATTTGCAAATGGAACTCAAAAACTTTGCGTCCCAAAAGATGCGTGCATCAAAAGTGATTAACACTGTGTAGTATGTATTCGCCATTGGTTCGAACCAACACCAACCCGACACCAACATCAACCGAACAAACTTGCCATAACCATTATTGTGCCATTGTGCATTTGAAATTCATATTTACGGCAAAAACTCTCACGACCTAAGCATGAAAATGTCACCCAATATATATTTTCTAATTATAATAGTTTGCCATTTATTTTTCATGATCCTTCAGTTCATATATGCATGTGCACAGTGCAGGATCCACGGAGGAGGAGGTGGGGCGCGCCACACATGCATGTGTGTACACAAACAACAAACTCATAGAAAAGAGCAGGGCCTGTGCAAACTGTTTACTTGTTATTTAAATTTTTCAACAGCGATTATTTAAATATTGAATTTTGGTGCTCGTTTCGCTCAGCGATAGAAATAAAACGGAATTTTCTCGAGTACTCAAAACCCTTCGGTCGGTCGAAATGCTATAACTCGCACAGCTTACTTACTCCCGAAAAGTTACATCGAGTCAGCTATAGAAAAGATAACGCGAGTGAGATAGAGACAGAGAGAAAGTGTGGGAATAAAAAGAACAAGTGGAACTGATTAAACTTTATAAAGCGCTGCACTGAACTTCCATAAATTATTTGGGCAACAACAAAAACAACTACACTGAGTATTGTCCACATTTCACAATTATTTATATGCGCGCTCTGCCACATGCACGAAAAATGTATACGAGGAGAGTTTAAACTTAGTCAAATCTGTAGTATGTACACAAGGTTGCTGCAACAGCAATATACCACAGGCGATCCTGGTGGCACCGATTGTAATGTGTTGAAAAATACATTGTAACACAAAGGATTATACTATCGGTGCCACAAGGTGTCGCTAGTGGTAATGCTCTTGCAGCAACGGTGTGAGTATGTATGTGTATGTATGTGGACGTGGAACGCATACGTGAAACTTTTCGTACTTTATTACAAAGCTAATGTTTTTAGACGTGTGTTTTTTTCCATTAGCCCGAAAAAAAATTTAATTGAAATTCTTTTCGAAATATAACCAGCATAGTAGTTGTATTGTTTCCACTGAACTAGAGTGCAGTAAGGGCAAACAGGAACAACAAACAAATGGTGAAAAAAAAAATTGTTGACTGCAATTGAGAAAGGACGACGGAGTTCGTTCAGTCATATTTTTTGTTGTTAAATATATGTTTGCACTTCGAGTTTTTTATGCATTTTCGTGCATCACGAAATCTGCGAATAATTTAATCGAGATGATTTTCATTGTTGTGTGTGAAATACATGTTTTTTATGCGCTTATCCAGAACATGGGAAGGAGAGGAAGAGAGAGAGAGAGAGAGAGCACGAAAATGGTCAAAAAGTTTGCTACCTTGCAGCTGAAACTGATTACATTCCGTAGTTTTGTAATCAGAAAATAGCTTCAGATTTCGACTACAACGAAAGTTAAATAGCTAAATTATTATTGGAACGAGTCAAAAGTAATCTAACGTATAAATCCAGCTCTTAAAGAATAATTCATACAAATTACTCCGTATTAGTGTAATTGAACACAGGCTTTCGTTAGACGAAAAAGGACGAATAACACAAAAAATAGCAGAACAGCAAACTCAAATTGAGTATTACCGTAATGGCTAGACCCTGAATAATCCCTCAAATGGGGCACAAAAAAATACTGTGTAAGAGAGCAATGACGTCACACATTATTAATGTGTGTATGTGAGAAAATTGGGAAAGTTTTTTTTTAAGCTATCTACTCTTCTAGAGTTTTCACTGTAGAGTGCACAGCGTGTTCATCACATAATTCCTCTTCAAAAAATCATATTGACAGGTCATGTTCGGTTCTTTCTCCTGTTCACTGTTTGGTTTTTCTTTGCTAGCATTTTCGTTTGCTGTGGCGCTTCCATTCGGAAAATCAACTCTTTTTTCTCCATCGTCGTCGGATGGTCGGAGAAATCGATCGAAAATGTACACAAAGTTGCATATAGTCCACACGCAAATATCGGAATTCTTCCAAAGAATTGCATGTAGTGTGTGCGGTTTGGCATTTCCCGACAAGTGAATTGTGAAGAGCAAAATTGTCGATTTCAAACCAAAAATTCAAAATGAATATGGAGAACATTATTGATTTCCATGCACATACTCACACGCCGCCAACGGCACCGCTGCTATTCACTCAGTGCGGTGTGTGTTTGCAACCGAAACAGAGATCCAGTTTGTATTGCAGCCAATACCAATCAAATGTTGACTTTCGATTTGAATTCCAATTTCAAAGCGGCCCCATTTTGGTCGCCTTCATGAATGATATGCTTCAATTTTTGACGATTCGTGTCATTATTATTTTTTCATTCGAAATGCCTTTTCTGCGGGCCTGTCTGTCATGCTTGACTTTTAAAATGTCGTCATATCGCATATTTTGATGGGGTTTTTCGTTTGGCAAACGCATATCTCTCTCTATCTGTGTATATTTGTTTGCGATGGAAACAGAAATTGCAATAATTAATTGAAAGAAAGTTAGAATGAAGCATGAATATGGGATACACATTAAATAAAAAAGCTCCTTATTTTATACCACGGATTTAATTTTCTTCCTGGTTTCGGTTTTTCCATTGCTTGATTCAATGGCATGAATTTGTTGAGGGAGTGTTTTTGAATTTCCAATCGATTTAACGGAGTTAATTCGAATTTGGGTCATTCTACTCGACGTCGCCACAACTTATGAATTATTTATGATCAATTATTTATCATTACATATTTTCTATATGCAGCGTGCCACGAAAGAAATTGTGCCCATTTTAAAATGCATTATTCCATTCACAAGCCGATCGTAATCAGCGGCTATTCATTTTTATATGTCTCTTTTTTGCCGTCACTGCTACTGCTGTCGTTGACGCTGCTGTTGCCGCCGCCGCCGCCGCCTCTCTAGGGCTCCAGTATTAATTTCCATAAATCAGCCGTTGCACTTGTCACCGGATAAAGTTCTATTTCCGATTGTCATGATATTTCAATTCAATTGCAGTCAGACGTATGAACGCGCGCTGCACTGATGGTTGATACAATTTGAAATTCTGTCGAGCCAGAAAATTCAGTGCATTGTTCAAATTTGGTGAATAGTATTTTTGTCTCTGCCCAAAATTGCATTTGCACAACCCGATGTGTTCGGCTCCATTGGGACGGCTGAATGAATGACTTTCTCTGCACACATTCACACATAAAATGTGTGCCATGAATGCATGCAATGTGTGTAGAAAGAGGCAGAGAGTGAGTGAAAACTATTCTCACTCGTTTCGTTTTCTTATCAACAATGGAAAAGCGGCAACAATGTGGAGAGAGACTATGAAGATTAGCAACTGTTACTATGTCTAGAGAGATAAAGTTTTGCAAACAACGCGCAATGTACAGAGTCTTATCTGGTTTCATTCACTCACTTGTTTCGACTTGATGCGATGCGATGTGATGCAATGCGATGCATCAACAGAGTTAACTGACTTCGTTTGAATATGGAATTAGTGGTCGATGGATTGGCTTTGATCTACGTCTGTATTAGTACTTGGGTGTGTGTGCGCGCACAAAATTCAGTACGTATCTTCTTCTTGCTCTCCGATGAGCTTTATTATACGATCAAGAATTTTAACTTCCATTATGCACAATAATCCTGTTGAGGTGAGCGTAATAAATTCTTCGGCAATGGTGGGTTCGTTTTTTTGCCTCTTTCACCGATAAATTCCATCAGACTAAACCATTTAGCCATTCATTGTGAAGTGGAATGCAAGATTTATTCTCAAAAGGTTTTTTTCTTCCCCGCTTTCGTCGTTGTCGTCGTCGCCGTTGTTGTTGTGGAATGTGCTGTTTCCTAAAGAATAGAAAATAAAATAAATTTTCGCAATTCAAAAGCGCTCTCCATGTTGTATGTGTTTTTTGTGTGCTTTCTTTTGTGGTTTTGATTCACGTAATTGTGGAAAATTCAAAACTCGATAAAGTTGTTTGGTTGTTTGAAAAGAGCAGATAACAAAACGAGTTTCTTTTGAATGAGCAGCTTTTTTTTTTTGTGTGTGTATATCTGTATGGTATGTATCTCTGGCACATACAGCAAGCACTTGATGGCTAAAATAAAATATTCCCGGTGAATGGAGAAAAAGAAATCTATTGACAGACAGAACGACAAGTGAATGAGCGAAGACGAGCGAAAAGAAAAAATTCAATACACGAACTTTATCCAGGTGTTGACGCGTGCGATCGCTTCGTTTGCTATTATGACAATTTTGCTTCATTCACGTAGCGTTGTGCGTGATGTGATGTTTTTCACTCGATTGCGTACATATTTTTGTGAAAAGTTCGTTCGCACACAGACACACACACACACAAAAAATACTGAAAACCTGAACAAGTCTCCTCTCCTCTGCCGCTGCATTCACAATTCCAACTCTCCCGAACATTCTCTTGTTCAAAGTCGGCTTTTCGCCAAATTCCATAACATAAGAGCGAGCAAATAAAAGAGATAATGAATTTTTCTCTGCACTTTCATAACTTTAACTGTTAGTCAAGTTTTTGCGCTTGCCAAAAAAAAAAACAAATGTTTTACGTGTTTTTTTCATCTTCTTCTTCTTTATGTATTTTATTTGGGAACGCCATGGCGTTCACATTTAAGCGACTCGGTTTTGCAATTTATTAACTTTTTCTGTGGCTTTTTCCCTCTTTTGTCTACTTGCAGTGTGAGCCGGGACTCGGTGCTAGCGTTATGTATAATCTACTGTACAATAAACCGCAAAAGTTGATGCTTCTAGCCGGCTGTAGCACCGTTTGTACGACAGTAGCTGAAGCAGCAAAAATGTGGAATCTCATCGTGGTAAGTTTTTTGTTCCTTTTGCCCCCTCAATCTATCTATCTCTGTCGGCCGTTGTTTTTTTTTCGTTCGGTCTATATATGCACACGGAAAAATAGAACATGACTTTGACATGAAACATGTTTTTCTTCATACATGTATGGCCTCTTCTGTCATACGCTCACTCTCACTCTCTCTCAACATCAACAAACAAAACACGGTGAAAACTATTTTAAGCGAAAAAGTATCAAAGCACATGCTTGGCTTTGAAGAACGAGATAACAAAGTAAAAGCCAACGAACGATGATGGTAGCATCAGGAGACGAACAAGAACGAGAATCAAAATGCGTTCGAGAAATAAATTAAGTTATTTGATGCTTCAGCAAGAATCAATTGCCAATGGAAAGAGAATTAGCAATGAACACATCGTTCACCTCTCTCTTCTTTCTCTGTTCCCTCTTTCTCTGACTTTCTCTCTCGTGCTCGTTTCCATTCCCATTTTCGTGAAGAAACATTGCAAATCATTCAATTTATTTGCAATTTCAAGTCGAGCTACATCACATTCACGATTCATGAGCAAAGCTTCGATTTAGTGATTACAACACATTATTAATACACAAATGATTCGGAAATGAGTGAATTTGAACTGTATGCCATTTCGGAAAATGGCACAAACATCGAGACGGAGAGAGGGAGAGAGAGAGAGAGAGGGATGGAGAGATAGGGGGGGAGAGAAATGTATCGATGATATTGGAATGGAATTTCCATAAAGTACGGTTGCTGCGGTGGAATGTTGATTGAATGAACATGAGCGCATTCTGCATTTGAAAGCGTTCGCATAATTGATTTCCACCCACAAAGTTTTGATATTTCCTACCCGCTTTTATGAGGACGATGATGATACGTTGTGATTAATTTTCGGTTTCTGTTTTGTTTGCATTTCGATTTATTCCAATTGCAGCTATGCTACGGTGCATCGAGCCCAGCACTATCGGATCGTAGCCGATTTCCAACGTTATTTCGAACACACCCATCCGCCACGGTGCATAATCCGACCCGTATTAAGCTAATGGAAAAATTCGGCTGGTCACGAGTTGCTATTCTTCAACAGGCTGAAGAAGTTTTTATATCGGTAAGAAAATTATTATCTGAAAAAAAGCACTTCGTACAGCGCCGCGCAGCGCGCACATAACTATTCATTTCCGCCTTTTGTTCGGGCGCGAAACTTCACTCAACTATCTTCATTATTATATGCACAAGTTTTTCGTTCTTTCGGTTGTTTTTTTTGCTGGATTCGGTGCAAGTACAACACTGTTGTTGTAACTTCGCAAATTACTTTCTTTTTAACTCTCCATTAAAAACATTATTCGTAAATTGCTATGTATCGCTTTGCAGACGGTCGAAGATCTCGAAAATCGTTGCAAAGATGCGGGCATCGAAATCGTTACCAGACAATCATTTTTATCGGATCCAACGGACGCCGTACGAAATTTACATCGGCAGGATGCACGAATCATCGTCGGACTGTTCTATGTCGGTGCGTTGGGTTCTAATGATTCATTTTTTTTAAATCTCTTGATATGGTTGTCAACCATTGAGATGTTTCGACTAGGTATCTTTTTTCTGTTGCTGATGTGATACAATTTCAATCATTTATTTCTCATTTCAGTTGCCGCGCGACGCGTTTTATGTGAAATTTATAATTTGAAATTATATTCGAGGCCGGGCGAACGAACCTATGTTTGGTTTTTTATCGGTAAGCATATCAGAATGCGCAACATTTTATAATCGCAATGCATTTGTGTGTATGCCATCTGCAGACATTACAAGTGATGCGAATGAACACACAGAAATGAAACGGGAAAAAAAAGACTGAAGCGAATTACATGCAACCATTTGGTAGTAATGTTTCGAATTCAATTTAACGCTTGATTTACAATGAATAAATTCGCACGTTTCATGAACAGATTGAATTATATCATTCGGCGCAATTTCGCGATCTTTTGTACTAGCCGATGTGAAAATGTGTAAAAGCGTGTTAATAATGAATTTTATTTTTTTTTCCACATCAAACACAAACACACGCACACACACACACAAACCCGAAAAAAAACATTGACAGGATGGTACGAGGATAACTGGTATGAGGTGAATCTCGAGGCTGAAAATATAACGTGTACACGCGAACAAATGAAAATGGCAGCTGAAGGACATTTAACCACTGAAGCGATAATGTGGAATCAAAATGTCGACGAAAAAACCATATCCGGCATGTCATCTGGAGATTTTCGGTAAGTTTTTTTTTCGTTGCTTCTCTTCTCATTTCGTTTGAAACGGTGGCCCGTTCCTTTTTGTTACCGGTGGTGGTGGGTCTTAGTCGGTTTTTCGCTTTCGTGCTTCGTTTAAGATTCAGCAATTGCGTCAACGACGTCAATTCATTACGTACAACCGAATAATTTTGAAATGAGTTGCCTCTTACTCTCCCGCCTTGTCGTTGGGCCAACCGAGCGGAGATCAACGATAAATGAAGGACGAGATAGGAGGGGGATGAATAAATCAAATCGCTGAAAATAAGTTGACCTAAAATGTGACATTTATTTGCCGAGATATCGAGAGAAAGCGGAAAACATTTGACATTTCTCACAAAGTATATCAGCACTAGATAAAATAAATGAATCTATTTCGGGACGAGATTGTGCCACTAGATTATATACAATTTATTTATACAAAGTCTTCGAAAATTCGATTGCGAATTAACCTAAATGGGTAAATGTTGTTTCACTCTATCACAATAACAGCAAACGATTAGATACCGAATTAATTCGTCGTGGACATGATATACGTCATAACCGTTATCCGATTGGTTATCAAGAGGCACCACTCGCCTATGATGCCGTTTGGAGTGTTGCCTTGGCATTCAATCGAACGATGGAGCGGCTAGCACGGAAGGATAAGAAACGTTCGCTCAAGGATTTTACATACACGGACGGTGATATAGCTGGTGAAATTTATGCAGCCATGAATTCCACATCGTTTCTGGGCGTTTCGGTAAGCACAATTTTGCTGCTGCTTTTTTTCTCTCGAAGAACGACAGACCAAGAAAATTTTGCATGTTGTTGGTGGCAAAACATTGCCAAAAGCATCCCCTCGAAATCTTTACTTTATTTTATAAGCTTTAAAATACATAAATATCTTTTACGATGTGCTTTGAATATACGACACTTTTTCCTCTCATCGAACCAAATTCTCGATATATTCACTCTTTTCTTCTTCTTTTGCAAACACACAAACACACTCACAAACAGGGAGTTGTGGCGTTCAGTTCTCAAGGCGATCGTATTGCACTTACTCAAATCGAGCAAATGATTGACGGGAAATACGTTATCCTTGGACACTATGATGTACAAGCCGATAATCTCTCGTGGACTGGATTGGAAAAATGGCAGGGTAACAAGGTAATCAAATCAACCAAAGTTTTCTAATGGAAACTTTTTACTCGCATACCAATTTCATAGTTGATGATACCCATCGACTCTCATTCGCTCGCTGCGTGTGTGGTGAGAGTCGGTTGCTATCTGGTACATACATCAAATGTGAAGATAGAACCCAAGCACACGAACACATTGAATATTTCCAATGTGCTGCTGTTTTGCTTCACAGAATTCGGTTCACAAATGCAAACCACATTTTTCACATTGAAATCTGCCGTATTATCTGAAATCAATGCAAACACACTCACACATACGCTCACATCCATAGATTTTCCAATTTTGAATCATTTTCCGAGTTATGCATCTGCTTTAAAGTGTTGCAGTGAAAGAAACACACAGAGAGGCAAGTTATAACGTGCGAATATTATCAATATAATAGATTGGAAATGTCGATGTGTGTGTTATGTGCTGTGTGCTGTTGCTGAGTGTGTGAGGTAAAATATAAAATTGAATTGAAAATGAAATTCGATATGATTGCAGACACCGCAGGATCGCACGATTATTCGACGTGTTTTACGCACCGTGTCATTATCGCTGTTCGTATGCATGAGCACCATTTCTGGTTGCGGTATTCTCGTTGCCATCGCTTTAATCGTTTTCAATATTTGGAACAATCATCGACGGTGAGTTTTGCGTTCATATTGTGCTGCTGCTGTTGTAGCTACTGTGCCTAGTGGCACTATAACACTATAACACTGCGCTGCGGCTATTCGACGATTGCCATTACGATGGTGATGGCATTTTATGTGTATGTATTTTTTGTCGCTCAAACGTTTGAATGTGTGTGTCACTTCATTTTTACAGTGTGATTCAGCAGTCACATCCCGTGTGTAATACCATTATGTTATTTGGCATAATCATCTGCTTGTTATCGGTGATTTTGCTGGGAATTGACGGTCGCTTCGTTAGTCCAAATACATATCCAAAGGTATGGCTTACAAACTCAGCACACAATGAAATCTCTTGCTCTCTCTCTTTTTATTGTGTTCGCATTTTTTTTACTCAAATTTTTTTCCGTTTTTCTCGTTTGTTACACATGAAACAACTTTACACGTACATTTGTTCGCATGCAGATATGTCAAACGAGGGCATGGATGCTTTCGACGGGTTTTACTTTAGCCTATGGTGCAATGTTCAGTAAAGTATGGCGTGTCCATCGATTTACAACGAAACAAAAGCAAGATCCAAAGGTTCGTAGCAGTAAAATGTGTTGCCTCTCAACTATTTGAATGAATGCTAAGCTCTGTCGTCGAAAGAGTATCTTTTGTTTTCATCGGCAAATTGCAATTTTTTTTTCTCTCTCTTTCTCTGTGTTTTTTTCTTCTCTTTTTCTTCCATTTGCTCCTTTTCCACACACACACACACACACATACACACAACGCCTCGATTTCTGGTGTACGATAGAAAAAAGTCGAACCATGGAAGCTGTACACAATGGTATCGGTATTGCTGTTCGTCGATTTAGTGATTTTGTTACTGTGGCAAATCATCGATCCACTTCAGAGGCGGCTTGAAACCTTTCCACTGGAGAAGCCATTATTGGCAACTGATGACATTCGGATAAGTCCGGAGCTGGAGCATTGTGAAAGTGAAAACCAATCGATTTGGTTAGGTACGTGAGAATGAGCCGCAGCTTATGTGTGCGGGCTCTATAAGCCTTTTTTTTACTTGCTCTACCGAGAATCAAGTATGCGTTGAATCGCAAAATCTTAATCAAAACTTATTGTGTGATTTTTTTCTCTCTCTCTCTCTCTGCCTCTCTCTTTCTCTGTGTTCGGTTTGTGTGTCGACGACAACGACGACGACGACAACATCAACAACGATGACAACAACAACATCAACAACAAAATATAGGTCTGATTTACGGGTTCAAGGGTTTAATATTAGTGTTTGGCCTGTTCTTGGCATATGAAACGCGCTCAATAAAAGTGAAACAGATTAATGATTCCCGTTATGTGGGCATGAGCATATACAACGTGGTTGTATTATGTTTAATCACAGCGCCCGTTGCAATGGTGATTGCCTCGCAACAGGATGCATCGTTCGTATTTATGGCGTTGGCTGTTATTTTTTGTTGTTTTCTCAGCATGCTGCTGATTTTTGTGCCAAAGGTTCGTACCCTCAAAAACCATGATTTTTTACTGTTGTACTTTCGCCAGTTATCGGCGGCCACTCAACCAATTCCATTTCCTATAATTTTTCGTCGTATTTTCATTTTCTTCGCCTCTTCTGCGATTGATGCCGAGGATGGCCACTCTCTTTCGCACTTGAACACACACTCAAATACATTTAATTCGTTTTCAATATTTGCAGGTTATCGAAGTGGTTCGGCATCCACACGATAAAGCTGAATCCAAGTACAATCCGGATGCTGGTATTTCAAAGGAGGACGAAGAACGTTATCAAAAGCTAGTGAAAGAAAACGAAGAACTACAAAGACTAATAGTACAAGTAAGTAACCGCAAAAGCAAATGTGTGTGTGTTTTTTTTTCATTCAATGATTGAAAAGGATTTACCTCAGCCCAATTTGACCGAAAGCAAGATTAAAAATGACGATTTTCCTGGAATTATACGTTCACGATTTTTGTGTTCCATCTCACTCATACGGCCTCCTTTGATGTCTCTTTTTTTTCTTTCTTTGTTTTCCACTTCGCAGAAAGAAGATAAAATTCGTATATTGCGACAGCGTTTAGTTGAACGTGAACAAGTTACCAAAGCAAGTTTAGGTAATGTGGCGCAATCAACGAATGAAATTCAATTAACAGCCGCTGCAGCGAATGCGGCCCAAGGTAAGGATGCACTCATTGTTATTCAGCCAGAAGCAACCACCACATCTGATTTTGATAGTGCCATTGGTGGCGGCCTGTCGATCATAACACATGCTAGCCAATCTGATGTTGAATTTTCCGAAAGCTACTCCTAATCCAAATGAAAAGAAAAATCAAGCAAAAAAAAAAAATTCTATAGAAAGTTAGACATAACTTGTTCGCCACCTAAGTATACATTCTGTGTGAGTCCAAAAGCAGCAAAACCAACTAAATATTAACAATAGCTATTAAAATGAATGGTGCAACGTGTTAGATTTCTAACTCTGTCTATTGAGCTTTAAGTCATTAAGTCAATCAATCCTTTTTGATGTTTTATTTTTATGTGTTAGTTTTTAATAAAAAAAATAATGACAAAAGAAATGGTAACATTGGACGAAGCAAACAAAATGTGAAGTTTTGTCGATTTGTCTTTGAGATGAAGGAAAAAGAAATATGTTGAAAACCAAAGCTATATTCGTTTCAATTGAATTTTCTGGAATGAATGTTCTCCATCGTTCGCACATTTCCAAATGTTTATATTGTTCGTTTTGACCGACATTCGTGTAAGTGAAAGAAAAATCCTGCCAAATCTATGTTTCCCCGTTATACGTGTATACGAAAGTTAAGACTAACACAAACGCACACACAGAATTCGATATTACTTGTTACTCCTCCTTTGTTTTATTGTACAAATTGAACTTCGATTGAATGTCGACCATACCCCTCATGAAATTGCACATATAATATTGAATTCAAACCATAGCTCGATTGCTCGATTGCTCACTTGCTAGCCTCCCCTCTCCGCCTCCCCGTAAATAAAGTCGATTTAATAGTTTAAGCACATATATAAACAAACTTTTTGTACATTATGATTGGCAACCAAACAACAAAATTTCATTTACTATACTATAGTGTTCAAGAAAATCGTATCAGTTCCCATTGAAAATCAATCAAACCGACACAAAGGCTGCGGAAACGATCAATTTGTTCATACAAACACACACACACACACACACTTTCATATCGTTCCGTTCGTTTTGCAAATTGATGAGAAGATGTGCCGAAAAAAAAATAGTGCACACACACTCAGACACACCAAGTCGCCAATTTATGATTTCCTTTTCTGATGATTCCCGTTTTTATTCGTCTATTTACAGATTTTCGCCCACAACACACATGAAAATAAAGTCAATTCTAATTAAGTACACAGATAAGTTCTAAAAAAACACACACAAAGTAAAAAAAAGCAAGCATTTAGTATAAAATTTAGGGAATTGTGAGAAGAAAAAAAATAAACCCAAAGAAAAGCGATGCTAACTAGGAAATGTGTCTAAATTTCTCGTAAAACAAAAAAAATGAATAAAAAACATTTTAATAAAAAAAAACAAGTGTATAGGAAACCGTGATATATGTAGAATATGATTTTAAAAAAACAACACATGATGATAGTTATAAGCTACGAAACAAGCTTAAAACAAGGGTAAAAATAAAAACAACAAAAACTGATGTCACCTCAGAAAACGAATAAACATTACATTCAAATGACAACAACATTACATCAACAAACAATAAAATCATTGCCAAATTTAAATAAGTTGTTGTTAGTGCAACAACCAATTTATACGTATTTGGTATAACATTCAACACTTCTTCTGCAACATACACATGAATCGAAATCATTCATCTAAATACCGAGATGAATATTCTATTTTCTCTTAATCTCTTCATCTGCATTTTCCCAAAAACATAAATAAAACAGTATGTCAAACGCCAATGGATTCGATTCAATTCAATTACATCAAAAACACCACACAAACAAACATACACACGCACAAAAACCGCAACATAGCGAATATGAACTTGATTAAATTTAAAACAATTAGTGGTTGGGGAACCGCATTCACATGTTTTCTACTGCTATTCATTTCTCAAAACAATCCCGTTCAAAATTTATCTATCTCCCTGTGTCTCTATCTCTCGTTGCGTCTCTATCTCGTTTGTTCAAATTGGGTAGTCCGGTAGTTGTTCAATTGGCAACAAAGTCGTATTTGCCAAAATTCAAACCTGAATCCATTCTCTCTCTCTCACTCTCCATCTCTCACACACACGGTTCGAAAATACAATTTCTCAACTCACCAATTAATTCCTTTTGAGTCAAAGTGTCGGTTTGATTATATCGGTTCGGTAAATCTATCTCTCTCTCTCTCTCTCTCTGATTCTCTCTTTGTAGTCTTTGTGTTCAACTCAATAGCGCATACTTTTCGAATTGTTTCAGTAGTTTTACGTTTGAATTTATGCATTCTATTTACAGTATACCGGAAATTATTGTTCATTTGATGTTTTGAAAGCTCTCTCAATTTCTCTATATTCGACGTAGATGATTTTCCTCTAAATCACACTCAGTAAAATATAAATTGGCACAGCTCTGGCTCTCATTTTTGCAACAAGAATCTCCCAATGTAGTCACAAACAGACTGTTAAACAACATCTTCCCACAGAACAACGGAAGAGCGCATCACACAATTTACACAAACACAATGTATACAAATTTTGCTTTAGTTTACTGACATTCGAATTATATAGAAATTCCTTTCACTTTTCATTTCCTTTGAATTCGCATTTTTTTTTCTTTTTGTTATTTTTTACTGTGTATGCGTGTATATAAATGTTATTTCAAAAACAATTTCCCCATTTGCAAGCGCGAACAAATGCAAAAATCTAGTGAGTTCATGCTCACTGTCAACAAGAACAATTCGCTATTTGATGCGGTGCAAACAACAAGCAATTGAATTCTCTGCAATAGCATCAATGCCTCATGTTATTTAATAAGAAGAAAAACACCCAGAAAAATAAAACGTGTTGTATTCTAGTGGTGATCATCGTGTTTTAGTAAAACCATTGTTTAACTTCTGATAAAAATTAAAATGAATTCGCTTTTGATTCCTCATTTGCCAGTTTAGTGACGGAAATGAAATAAACTGAAAAATGAAATTTTAATAGAAAAAACACGCACGTGCGCAAGCTAAAAAAAATGAATAGAAAAAGCCAATCTAGATTTAAAAAAAAAACAAATAAATGTTATTTTTCTCTTTTGAAAATTGTTCTTTGTTTTTTTTCTTCTATATGTTGAATGAAGAAGCAGCAGAAGAAAAACTCGTCAAATTGAGCCTATGGTATATAAATAGAGTATAATAATTAAATAACAATCATGAACTTTAAGGAATGAACGACGAAATAAATGAATACAACACACACACACACACACACACACGATTTTGAAAAGTGAAATATTGCAAATTTCATGTAAAAAATTTTGTAAAACCAAAAATGACTGACATACATGTAAAAAAAAACAAAACAAATTAACCGTAGCGAAATACAAACAACAGCGATAATTAAAATTAATGAAATTTGATTATGGCTAGGAAAAGAGAGCATATAGCAATTAGGGTGAAATGAATAGAGTTATAAGAAAATATGGAAAATTCGCACAGCTCTCATCAAAACAAGACACACAGAAAAAAACAGATAAATTTTTATGCAAGGTAATACTATCTATACATATGTAATATGATGAAATTAAAAAAAAATTTTCTCTTGTGTTTCGTTTTGCTGAAAACCCAGAAATGGTGTCGTATTCAGTGGAATAAATAGTGGTAACGAAAACTGCGGTTGTTGGATTGCGTACAGCTCGATTAAAATTCCCGGCAACAATTTGTGTGCCGTGCGGCAAATGCAAATTCACGAGGACATCTGATTCGGAGCATCAGAGTTTCATATATGTTTGATATATATGTATATGCAAAACTATCACACCACACAAACACATCTCTAATAATGATAATACTCAAGCTAGAGATAAAACTCATACAAACACATTTGACAGCAGCATTAACAACGGCAACGACAGAAAATATATAATTTCTGGCTCAATGACGACACCGACCAAACAAACTGAATTGAATCACGAGCGAGTGATTGCACCAAAATGATAAGCCAACCGAATTTCTAGATATTTTTTCTCGATTATGCTAGTTCGAAGCATTCGATAACCGAATACATTTGGCAAAAATGAATATATTTTTAACATCATTTCGGTACAATCATGTGCACAAAAAAGTTTCATTCGAGTTGTGTGTCAAGGGAATTTTGCGTATATATGTGTGTGAGATTTTTGTATATTCAAACATTATGAACTTTTGTTGCTGTTTCATGAAAAAAAAAGCGGAAAAACAGAATTATCATGAATTTGATCTGAAGTTGTCACATTACATTCCCCCCCCCCCCCCCCAGTCTTGGTTTTGCCGAGCGATACATATGAAAATTATGTTATCTCACTCCGGCAGGAAAAAAAAAATACACCACTGCAAAAATATATATATTATGATCCACATTTGACCCTCTACCTGAGTCCATAGAGGATTCATGTCGATCAAATAAATTATGCAAAACGACAAATCGAAAGCTATTCACAATCTATTGAATTTTAAATTTTTCTCTCATATACCAGCGTATACAGCGCTCTGTCGTTGTTCGTTTTTTTCTCTCTTGTTTCTTGTTCCATTGATGTTTCAGTTTCTAGTCGGAACTCATATGCTTGAAAGTTCAATGGTTGTGAATGCCACTTTAACGAAATGTGACAGTAGTTAAGTAACAATAAATAACATCAATAACAAGAAAGAGAGAGAGAGAGAGAGAAAGTGGACGAAATAGAAGAAAATTTATGAAAAATTCATAAATCGAGAGATGACAATGAAAATGAGTGTCATTTTTAGAAAACGAACGAAAAAAAACAAATAAAATAACGACTATGCCATGGAATAAGTTTGGCATTGGGAACGATTACCGTATGGAGCGAAAAATACGAGATCCGATTAACATGGATTGGTCAACGGTTTTTTTTTCGGTGTCAAAATTATGGTTTCTGATGCCGATTTATGAATAATCATTTGCCGATATTTGGCAGACCTCTTTATTTCGATCACACATTTTCGGTTGATGCATATATAAATTCATTTTTTTTCGGTTGCGAGCGAGCGCGCGCGAGTTAATTGAGTTTGATACAAAATTCAATTGATTAAAAACGGATTTTAAGTTCATCCACCCACAATGGTTGCAGTTTGCTGCAATGTGCGGCCATGCCCGTGGGCATTATATAAATATATAAATACTATTCCAATGAGGAAAGAAAATATCATTTGCAATCGACAGATAATGATAAATAAAACCGAGTCTATTTTGAATGAAATTTAAAAGAAATTGTTGCATGTTGAATACAGTTAGATTATTTCTCACCTAGTTAGAATACTATGACAACATATAATTTAATTGAAAAGAAAGGGAAAAAACTGACAAAAACTGTTTGTTACCTATAGAAAACTATGAATGTGACGACTACGACGACAAAAAACAACAACAAGAATAGCAAAAAAAATGTGTTTAAAATTGAATATTAGACGGAGTTTGTTAGAAATTTGAAAATTTTAACTTATATATTAAACCAAACCAAACAATACATTGTGAACTCGTATTTACTAAACGAAAAAAAAAAACCAGCAAAAAATCAATTTGAAAACTTTTAGGAAATTAAAGAAATGAAAACTGAACACACCTTTTACATATGCCCACATATTTTCATCGATGTAATTGCATTTCTATTAAATGGTACACAATACTCGTCATCCTCTGGGCACACATCACACACACAACCACACAAGTGAAGAAAAAAGAATTAAAAAAACACACAAACACACACATCCTCAATCACACGTACATTAAATGAGGAGAAAAAAAAACCAACCTTGAAATCAACTCTCTCGAGATATTGAAATCGAACCACCGTAGCCATTTTAGAATATGTGTGAAATGTTAGTGAATTGTATTAGATTAACAAAAGCAAAGCAAATAACAACAACAACAACCAAATGTTGTGTCCGGAAGTATGTTGGACCAACATGCCAACATTGTTGTTGCATCGGAAATCGAGCATCGAAACTGGTCCAAATTGGTTTTATCAATGAGAATGCTTTGCCAAGCACTTTTCGCCTCCCCCACATACACATAAAAAATCACAATATTTCAAATTCGTGACAAATCAATTTCAATGCTTTATTTCGGATGCAATCGACACCGGTCAATGAAAAATAATCCACAAGGGAGAAAAGAAAAACACGGAAAAAAATTGTCTGAAATCGAATCGATGAATAATAACGATTGAAAAAAAAAACGAACGTTTCATTAAAAAGCAAAACAAAAACGATTCACCGACTTCAACACTTTTGATCATAACAATTACATCTTATAAAATCTGGATCATATAGAAAAAGAACACAAAATTGTATCACATCTCATTTACGGAGTGACACGTATTATTTCCTATTGAAAAAGGCGCAACACAAAAACAAAATGAAACAGACAGAGATGATGGAAGACGAGATTTACTGAGAATGGTCACATGCAAAATGATCTAGGGTTTATTGTTAAAATGATACATTAAAAAAAATACACGGTGACATTCATCCATTTATTTAAAACAGAAATAAAAAAAAACTAAAAAAAAACAATTAATAAAAATAAAGACATTTTGTGTTTGATTTCTTTGTGTTTTGTTGTCGTTGTTGATGTGAATACATAAATGCAGGCGTTTTCCTTCACAGCCATGGGCCACCTTTAATTGCATTTAATCAGTAAGAAGCAATTATTTATACCAAACGAAGCACTGTTCTGCGTTGGAGTGCAACTGCATCGATAACGTGTTCGCATCAATTGGCCTTGCCGGTGCGTTTAACCTTTCAATAAACAAGTCTTCGGTTGGTTCTTGTACTTCGACTTTATTCAAAGTGGTCACGCAAAATATGGTAACAGCTTAAGCAAGAAATCATCGGGCCATTTGCAACACGAAACGTTTTTTTTTTTTTGATTAAAAGGTAGGCGAAATAAAAAACGTTGACATCTTCCTCAGTTAGCTGCAGCCAACCAGTCGTGTGTTGGTATATCAATTTCAATTTGCTGCAACAAAAACTTAATTTATAGTCTTGCCAATGATACGTTTGCAATTTGCATAGATTCGACAGCCTTCACAGTAATAATTTTACGATAAGTATACTATATTTAAAGTGTCACCGTCATTTTCAATGCGAAACCATTGTCCGGTTTTAGTAGTACACAAAAAGCATCACACAGAACATCATCATCGCACTTGAGTGCTTCAACTCCTACCACGCGACGATGCGTGCAAGCGAAAGTGAATTGAAAAATTGTGGCCTCAATCATTGGTAACGAGTAAAAATTCGCATCAGATAAGAACTGATCGTTGTGCTGATCGGTTGGCTTAAACTCTATTACACTCAGTTGCTCACACAATAACACCGTCCAGTTTAAAGTTGATTGTTTTGTTACAATTTAAAATTCCTAGTTTTAGTTGAGTTTGTTTTAGCTACAATGAAATGCATACGGTTCTTATTGATATTGACGTTTGTGCTGTGCATACAAAATGGTTTTTCTGCCAAATTGGAAGAGAGATTCCATTGGAAAGAGGTTTCGTATGCATGGCCATCCGATGCAGCCAAGGAGGAAGCGATAAAAAGTGGACGTTATCAATCGGAAAACAATTTACCGCTGGGACTTGAAGTGTGGAAGAGCAAGCTGTTTATCACCGTTCCCAGGTATTTAAACTAAAAGCCACTTGAAGTAATTTCAAGTAAACTATCTCTCAAATTGCTTCGCTCTCGTTTTTCAAAACTCTGTTCGTTTTTCAAAATAAATTGTTTATAAAAGAAGATATCACTTGAAACTTATTTCTGGAATCATATTAACGCGCTATGGACGGCGTCACGAATGGACTTTCCAACAAATTCTAAATTATAATTGACATAATCGGATCAAAATGTATTTTTTTCTTCACGTTTTCAAAACATTTCGAAAACTTTACGAATTTCAAAGAGAACCGTTGAAACATTTCTTTCTCCGAGGAGATATCTATCCCCTATTCGTCGGAATAAATATAGAATTCATTTTACGAAATGAAGAAATGACTTCATTTTTACGGTGATTACATATAATCAAACGCTTGTTTATTATTATCATTCGACACCCAAACGCGTTCGACACACAAACATATTGTATGTGTGACTCACTATTTTTACACTGTTACAACAACTCTAATTTAATTAAATGACGCCATTGTAATGATGATTGTGACTAAAAAACAGCATTATGTAAGAGTCGTTATATGATTGTCCAAATGTTTGATGAAATGAAATAATAACGTTCTTATTGTGCTCAGTAGAAAATTGAATTATCCCATGTTGCCCCTTTGATACACGAAAGTCAGTTGGATTCATTCAATTTCAGTGGGTTCTTTTATATTCTCTCGTGTTAAAAATAAAAGAAATACGAAAGTTGAAGTCCATTCATTCGGTTCTTTTTTTCGATCTCAACTCTTATAACAGCATCAAAAAGAGCAGACAGTAAAAACAGACGTCTACGCTTGAAAAGAAAAGTGGAAAAGAAAAAAAATTCAAGTTTTGAATGTTCATTTGCTCATTAAAAAAAACTCGATGTTGTTTTTCTTCTTCATTCAAATATAATTTTTTATAATCCCGGCCAATGCAAATGCAAACGGTTGAGTGTGCCTCATACCGCCACAAGCAAACGAACAACGCATTTCTGTTTGTTCTTTTGAGTTACATCAAACCATCTACAACCATTCGTACTCATGTACTGTGGTTCTTTTTGCACGAAATAACGTCCACGTGAATTCAATCAATCGATATCTCATGGAACATAAGCTGAAAATCGACGCTTCACTGCCGCGCAATGAACAGAGACTGGGAAAAAAGACGAAGAGTACAAACATAGATCAAACAACAATAATGTTAGGAAGCAAACACAATGCGCGTTCCAGTTGAGTGATTGCATTTGAACCATGGTCCCACCGGTAATCTGTGTCGGAAGTGCCAACAAATGAGAATGAAAACGAGAGAGAGAGACACAGTGTCGTGCGTCCGCGTGCATTGATCATCATCAAAGTTGACACCAAAAAAATATTGTGCACACTTTTGTTTACGTATATTTTATGGTTAGATAATTTGGTAGATCATTTCAAATCAATGTTTAATTTAAAACAAGTGATCCGCATGAAAATTAGCGAATACCATGCGATTCAACATCTCATTTTATGCAATTCATACGAGGGCAATTAAAACCAATTTTCTATTGTGAACTCGGTTTTAATTGAAAATACGCGGCACTCGCTTTGACACTCGCGAAAGATAACACATTTTGCAAACAAAAAACACATTTGATTTGGACACAAAAAAAAGTGATTTCAATGGTTTGATGAGGAAATTTTATACCAATCTATTTATGATTGTATCATGATGGCCTAATTCAATAGACTATGAAAATGTTCCATGTTTGCGTGTGTGGCTTTTTATGAATGTGTTTTTGTAGAAATTTCATATTTATATTTCAGATGGAAGTCTGGCGTTGCTTCGTCGTTGAATTATGTGGATATCGAGAGTAAAGAGTCGAGCCCAGCATTAATTCCATATCCCAGTTGGGAAGTAAATTCACTGGATTCGGATGGTACTGTCACGACCGCAGAAACAACGGGCGGCCGTACGAATGCACCAAAGGCTACAGTGGTCGATGGCCAATTGGCCGATAATTCATCAATTATTTCCACATTTCGGATTCGCGTTGATGAATGCGATCGCTTGTGGGTAATGGACTAGGAGAATTTAGCTATTCGCAAATTGCACAAAATTCGCCAATTTCATATGAATTTCAACTTTAAACTCTTTCGAATATTTTACGAATTTTGCAAAATCTTTGCGAATTTTTCAAATCCAAATCAATGACAGCTGGAGTAATGTTATAGTTGTCTCTAACGTAGTTGTCATTCGCAGTAACAGAGCATTGAATGCGAAAAATTCGCAAAAAATTCGTAGCAAAATTGAAATAAAATAGTTAAATCCGATAAATCCAACTGATACATATGCCTCTAGGTAATGGACACTGGATTGGCCGATATTCTGGGTAACCCAAAACAAATTGCACAACCCGCTTTAGTCATTTTCGATTTAAACACCAATAAACTAATCAAGCGCTACACGATACCACCTGCGCATATCAAAGATGACACCTTTTTCGCGAACGTGGTACGTGGAATTGATTTCTATCTGCACCATTACTGAATTATTTGCACGCATTAACATTTCAGCAGCAGCAGCAGCAACATTAGTAATAGAATGATGTAATGAAATATTCATTGTTTTCCAATCTGTATCTAGATGGTTGATGCGCCAAAGAATGGATGCGAAGATGCATTTGCCTATATTCCGGATTTGGGCGCTTATGGTACGGTTGTTTACTCATACAAAGCGGACAAATCGTGGAGAGTGAGACACAATTTCTTCTATTTCGATCCGGTCAACGGTGACTACAACGTTGGTGGCGTTAATTTCCAATGGACTGACGGTGTATTTTCAATGGCCCTGGGCGAACAAACAGAACAAGGGTATACTTATTTGCTCACATCATCAAACGAACAAAGAAAAAAATGGCATTTATTTTGTTTCAAAACATTTTCAGCACACGAACCGTGTATTTCCACGCCTTATCGAGTACAAAAGAATTCTCCGTACCAAATTATGTCTTACAGAATAAAACGCGTGCATTGAGCTCCGAATCATATTATGACTATAGTTTCATCGGTGACCGAGGACCGAATGGCCAATCGACGGCCGAATTTTTCGATGAAAAAACCAAAACGTTAATTTACACACAGGTCAATAAAGATGGTATCGGATGCTGGAACACAAGCAAACCGTATACACCAGATACACAGGGAATTATCGATAGCGATTCGGATGCTTTAGTTTTTCCAAACGATTTAAAAATCGATCGGAATGGAAACGTATGGGTCTTATCGGATCGACTCCCAGTATTTATTTATAAAAAATTGAACCCGAACGAATTCAACTATCGCATTTTAACGGGAAAAGTTAGCGAACTTATTTTAGGCACACCCTGTGAATGATACAATACTCAAAAGCTTTGAATCACACACTTGATTACATTAAATGAGGGGTTTGGAGCGAAAATTTCATACAGAAAAGTTGAGAGGAAAAATGTCAAATGAAAAGAGATAGCTATATAGTTCACTATAGTTTACTATACAGTTTACTATATAGCTATCCCTTTTCCGCTCATTCATCATCGACATTTTTCCGCTCAACTTTTACATTTTCGTATTACATTTTCGCTCTAAACCCCTCAAATCATCACAATTTTCCGTTTGGTTTTTAGCGTGTACCCATTTTGGATTTCATGCAATTGAATTTTGATGCGGATTTTGCATAATTTCAGAAATAATTTTAAGATTTGAAAGCAAATAAAATTCCAATTGAACGAACATTGTTTTTCATGTATAGCGCTTTTCGTAGAGTACGGCAAAGTACATGACATTACGTCTCGTTTACAGCAAACTGAGCATGTGCACGGCTCGTGACAGCTGTCACAACATCATTTTTATAGGTAAACAATACAAGTGTACATATTCCGTATGCGGCCACATAACTGTTGTAAGTAGCACTGAAAGCTCAGTGACAAAAACTTTGATTGCACGAATTTTGTATTCGAACTAAAAAAAAATTATCTTTTTATTTTCGTATTGTTTTAGATGCTAAATAATTTATTTCATGGGCGATTTGGAGCTGAGCTCCGTGTAGATAATAAGCTACTTGAATTCTACATTATCGCAGATTATGCTCGCAAACATTATCCGATTTGAATTTTTGATGAACGGATGAATTTTTAATTTGCACTAAAGGCTGTATGTACGTGGTATGAGGCGCTACAAAACACATTTGATGGTGGTGATCAACATTTGTGAATGATGTTTGAACTCTTTATACCGCTAGAAGAGGCTCATTTATTATTTTATAATTAGGTGATGTAGTTCTGTTCATAAAATTGATAATAATGTTATTTTGATCCCGGTAAATACACACATTTCGATACAAAAAATTAGTTTGTCTGCCAATAAATCGAATTAAAAATAACCATAACGATTAATTCGTGCGTAGAAAAATTAACAAAATTTGACTATCAATGGCGATATTCCTAAAAAGACATATTTAAAAAAAAAGCAAAATGAAAATTGTGAACAACATGTCACTTTGAAACTAAAACATTATTATAACAACTTACAAACTTGAATCCAGAATTGATTTTGTTGATGCAACACACTTTTCGAAATCCAATTCTTTCAATTTAGAATCTTCGTAATGAAAGAGAAGAAGCCTTTTGTTTCTATTTCAATTTATTCGAGTTTACCATTCACAAATGGAAATTGAATCTAATGTGGTAGTTCTGAATTTTTTACGTGCAAAAATATGAAATTGAAATTCTTTGAAGTGTATCAAATTTTTTGTTAATTAATGCGTCTGTTTGAAAATATATGGAAATTCAATTTTAAACTCAAATACGTTCTAAAAAGACAATGAAATGTGTAACTTATTTCTTCCGCAAACGATGAACAGTCTTCATGTGCTGATCAGCATTACTTTTAGTAGTAAAACGTGCTTTGCATACTTTGCATTGAATCCGCTCACCAGTGTGATCTGTTCGCATGTGTAGCTTCAAAAGTTGTTTGTATCTACGATGCTCTTTACACAGATGGCATTGATACTGACGGTAACCACAGATTTCTTCATGCGCAATTTTTTCGTTTTCGAGTGCGTATCCTCCGAAGCACTTGGAGCATTGGAATGGGAATTGGTCGCTGTGTGCCGATGACAAATGACGATTTAAATAAATCTGTCTGACGAATTGTTCGCTGCAAATTTCACATTCGATCGATCGTTTTGCTCCGTGCATTGATTGCATGTGCACCTTCAAACAATGCTTGTGAACAGTTTTGTAATGACACACATTACATGCAATTGGACTTCGTTGGCAGCGCGTTTCGTGTATTTGCTTATCTTCTAGACTGGTGAATCGCCGACCACATTTCGAACAAGGTTTTGGCCGTCCATCGATGTGAATCATTGAATGTCTTCGGAGATTAGAGTTAGTTATAAACGACTTGAAACAAATCGAGCACTCTGACGGCTTTGCTCCTGTGTGAATCCGCATATGAACTGTCAAATTCATTTTTTGCTTTGCTGAATATCCGCAAATATCGCATTCGAATTGTCGTGGATCGCAACATCGTTCATGATCGATCTTAACTGATTCTTGTTCAAATCCTTGATTACATTTCGAGCAACGAAATTGGCTATGCGTTTTCCTATGACGAATCAAAACACGTTTTTGTGCAAAGGACTTCGAACAAACATTACACTGAAATGGCTTCTCTCCAGTGTGAATGCGCAAGTGTATTAAGAGTTCATACTTGTTGAGTGCTAAATGATTGCACACTTCACATTTGTGCTTCTTTTGCTTTTTGGACGCTTGGTTCTTGGGGATGGCTCGTTTGTTTTGCTTTTTGGAGCTTCCATTGCGTTTATTCCCACTGCCAATTGATTCCAGTGGTTGTACATCGATTGAGTCACCCACCTCGTTCTCGTTATCATCGTTGTCATTGGCGCTCTCATTCGATCGTTCATTTGATGCCGCGTCCTTTCCTTTGCCCGTCTCTTCTTCCTCGCATTTGATCTCATCCTTTACATCATCAAAATCATATCCGAATTCGACCGATCCTTCGTAATTCGAACGATATCTTCCATCAACTCTCGGCCATGGTATGTCAATAATGTCACCATTATCGCTGGGCTCTTCCTTTACTACAGTTTCTTGCTTGATTTCAGCCTTCGTAGACTTTGATCTGCGCTTGCAGCGTCTACCAGAAACACCTTTTAATTGCCTATTCGATTCAGGAGAAACATCCAAAATCAAACATCAGTAAATAAATTGACTCAAAACAAACCACGTGTTTGGCACGTCGATGGCAAAGAAAAACACATTCCAATTGTACGCTTGTGTTTCAGAGGTATTATTTTCCAACAATTTTTATGCATGACTAATTGGTTTGTCACCTTTAAAACAGATTTAAGAATGTCCAAGCGCAACATCCGAGTAATTAATAGATATTCAACACTTACGTTTGTCTTTGTTTTTTTTCTGCTGAAAATGTGCTTCGCTTTGGTCTTTCAAAATGTCTGCCTCAATTGATGTCTCTCTGTATAATAACAATATCAGCACAACCTCCGGCATCGATGTTGCGACTCAAACGATTGCTTTTATGTGTGTGAGTGACAAGTCTTCCGTTAAGTTCTCAGTGACGTCAATGTGTATACACCTCGCCTCAATCAGTAGCTCTCTTTTGAGCAAATTTGGAATCACAGTCAAAAACGTCTGTTAAATCCATGCATGAAATGTTTTTCTTAGTTTGAAATTTTGATCGTTCTGTCATTTGAAACAAAAATTCTGGATGATTGGGAAAAGGTTGTGACTTTATTCAAAGTGAATGAAAAATTGCTCGTTGAATCATTGACAACGAATTAGACAAAGACCGCGAATGATGTGAATTGAAGAAATTATTTCAGAATGCGATTCGAAAATGTCCGAAATAAAAATGAGCAACATGTATTGAAATGAAAACATTCTCATTCTCATTTTAACCGCTAATATTAATTGTCCCTGATACGAAGTGAATGAATTCCTAAAAATTTATTGAGTGACAGCAAGTTGTTATTAACTGCGAAACAGAATCAATGCCAGAGACAGCAAGTAATGTCAAATCAAAAACAATTTCAATACTTGCATTCCATCAAACATTTGAAAATGGAACAACGCCACCCAAGTAAAATTTATGTATTGCTTTTTACCGTTAAATTAAGTAATGCTTTTGCCCACTTCAGTGGTGCATTTGACCATTAATTCACATACAATCCCGTCCGAATCGGATGAAATTCGGGTATCATCCAACTGTACGCTACACTCGAATCAAATCCATTTGTGACGGTAATAATGGGTGTGAAAACTGACTGACTGACTGAGAATTATATATGTACAACATCTTTGAATCAATTGAGAAATCAGAACCGTTGTGCAACATTTTCAATTGTAAATGTCACTTGAAATCTTCAAACTATTCATTAGCTCTAGAAATATGCACGATATAATAATCATTTTCAGTATAAAAAACTGTCGAAGCAAAAACATTTTGCTTCTCTTTGGAGATTTCCCTTTCTGTCTCCAATTCGTAAAACAGCAGTTTTGACGCAGCAACCGTCACGCCAATCAAATGTGGTGTTCAAAGGATGAAACATTGAGGCCGAACGATTCGTTTTGTAAATGTCACTCAGCACAGCGGCTCATTGGTGTAGGAACATTGTCAAGAAATTGACGCACATTTCTTTGAGTGAACATTAAACGAAAAAAGGCAATTTTTTTTGCGAAATAGTTGCTTTAATTGCGAGACCAAAACCCTTTTACAGGTATGTACGGCTAAGAATAGAGTTTTTGCACAAATTAAATTGTGGATTATTTTGGAAATTGTTGTGAAATTGTTATTTTGTCATACCGGTTCACATTTTCATGTTCAATGACATGTTCAAAGCGGGAAAAATCGCAATATTCTAGACCGATTGCATTGATTGACGCGAATAAAACAATATAAATTAATTCGATCACAACAAGTTTTCCCATTTTTTTTTGTTACCAATTACAATTAATGGATTGTGGTTTTTTTTTCCAAAGATTATTTCGCAATTTTGAGGCGAGATTCGCATTGAGACAGGGAGACAGAGAGCAAACGAAGCCTGATCTATTCAAAGTGGACTTATTGTGACCGAGGTGAGTTTAGTGAAGGTAGAAAATTGCAACAAATTAGCGTAAAATCATGTTTTTGCGTGTGGTGTACATGTTTCGACATGATTTATGGCGACGGACTGATGAATATCATCACATTGTTATCGTATTCGTTTAAAGCGATCAATCAGTGCATTGTTTTCGATTTCCGTAGCGTTAGCTAATTTCACAATCGCTTGCAACAAACATTTCATTCGTTCTACAATTTATTTTCTCTCGTTTAGATCCATCGCAATGGCGAGGCGTAAGCGGCACAATAAGACGTTTGGTAAGCCAAGGGAGAACAAAGTCCAGATGAAAAAGCACTCAATTGTGAAGAAAAAACGTGTCAATCGGAAAGAAGATCCAGAAAAACAGTCGACAGAAAATGGCACAATCGAAATCGGCGCGATCAAATTGATCAACAAACAATTGAATCACACCTTATTGTTTTCACTAATTCAATATTTTCAATTCATTTAAAACAAAAGAATTTGAAAAGAGTACCTTGAATGCATTTCGGTATTATCATACCATCATCAGCATCACGACTAAACAGAAAAGTCGTCGGTTGTCACGTAAAAACATCGGTCGGTGTAGCATCATAGCAACCGAGACAGCAAATTTGACTCGATGTTCCCGTTATCCAGATTCAATGCGTTGTTGCTCCTCTGAATAAAGTAACTTTCGTATGCGTCTAATTTGCGCGCGTCGCCTATCTCTTTCACCAACCGTAAGTTGCTTATGTCGATGTTCAAATGACCGCTGTTCAATGCATGCAATGCTAAGGCAGAGCGGTAGCCCTGTTTGTTTTTTATGCGATCAAATTGGCATTTAATTCGATAATTAATCCGAAGTTAACAGAAACAGAAAGAGGATTTCTGATCCATAAGTTCTTCGAGAAATGTTTGAATGCTACGAAAGTCATGCATCTTGCATCGATGTTAATGCTCTACACAATTAACGAAGCATTTGATGATGGCAATTTGGACTTCTTCGTGAATCAAAACGGAGCAAATTTGATTACAGACTGTTTCAACTGTGTCACATCGAACAACATCAACGATCCACTCACAGCCCAAATGCCAGACGAATTTCTCGCGATGGTGACCCAAGGTAGCCCCAACTTTGAATGGCCACGCCGCCATCAAATGACTCGCCAAGTTTATGCTCTCAAGGACCAGTATGTGGCCAATGTGAAGACAAATTTGGAGACGCACTGTTGGGTGAGATTGACCCACTTTCTACGTGTAAAGTGCCATGAATTCAATCACAAAGGAAGCCCACTTGGCGTTATTTATGATGCATCATACTTGCCTTTCGATGACATTGACATTCGAAATACGATGAAAAATTTGATGTACAATGAAGATTGGACTTATGATGATGATGAAAGTCGAAAGTCGAAGATGGAAATACTGTTTAAGGAAGTGTCTCAGCTTTGTGGCCCATCATTCGTAAAATACTTCACAATGTACGAATACATTCAAAAGGACTGGTTCGAGTCTTTGTGGATGTGGATAGGCATGCAACGAATTGTCGAGAAATTTTTGATCGATACGGCTCACCTTCGTGAACAGTGGAAAGCATACGATCGTGATCCAGTGAACAATCGAGAGCCGTCGGTACCGAAGATACCAAAAGTGAAGAATTTCGCCGCTATTCCACTCTGTGATACAAAACTGAAGCACATACCATTCGACCATAATGACTTGATTGATATCATTGGCCAGTTGAGAAATGAACGGGGATGGGATATCCGTGCTGATTATCGTACATACTACAAGCAAGGCGAGAACAAAGACGAGGCATGGGGAATTGTGTTCGATATGGACAAAATCAGACAGCTCAGAACCGGTTCGAAAGAGTTTTACCACAAAATTCAAACCAACAGTAGTGCCGTGTCGGTGTTGTTTAGCAGACCCAAACGCAAAGGAGCCGGCGTGACTCTGTCTGAAATCAAAGCAAAGTACGAAAAGCCAGTCAGCAAAGGCGGTTACAAGTATGAGTCAGGAATTGATCCCGGCCAGAAAACAAAAATGGCCTGCGTGCGTCGGACTCTCGCTACTGGAATTGAAGTAAGTTGAAATATCATATGAAAATTAACATAGATTTGCATTGTTGTTGTTCATTTCACAGACCAACATCAAATTATCGAGTATTCAATATCACTGGGGTGCGCGACAAGGAATGCGCGACAAACAGGCCACGAAAATGACCAAAAAGTACGTGCACAAAGAACAGCGCGACTTGAAAAGCTATCCGATCACATCCGTATCGCCGCGAGGATCACAATGGAAATCATTCATTAAGCACAAAATCAAAATGCTGACAAATTCATTGGCTACATACGCCAGAAGAAAGTACGCACAGCTATCGTTGCACAAGTACATCGAGTCTAATCGCGAAATGGATTTGATGGCTAAACACATAACAAACAATGAGACAGGAGTTGTATTCCTTGGTGATGCGGCGTTCCCATCAAATTCGAAAATCGGTGTGAAAAGAACAAAACGATCACCAGATCAGCGAAAGTTCATAGTTAGCCTAAAAAAGAACGGCAAAACGGATGTTGTGCTTACACCAGAGCCGTATACATCACAAACCTGTGCCAATTGCTTGCGGCGATTTCCGAGAAGCACAAAAAGTGACCGATTCAAAGTGTGCAAAGATTGAGCGTGAAAGCCACAATCCAGAGCAATTGGATACCGAAGAGGCAGTGAGACAGTACAATCGACGCATACGACGGCGTGAACTACGTCAACGACGTCGAGTTGCAGGCCATCGCAGCCGTAAAGTATCCAAACAGCCGGAAGCGGAATCCGATTTGCCAGGTTTTGTGAAAATTGGTGACACAAGTATTTGCAAGATTCGTGTCAAAAATCGTAAGGCCAAACCACAATTATGGCAGCGAATACATTACGATGCAACTGATAAAGGAATTGGGTTATTGGGGTCAAAGAAAATAGCCTTCCAGAAAAACTGGCACTCAAGCCCAATGAATGATCAGAACGCTTTTACTGCTACTTGGCATCGTGACATCTGTGCGGCGAAGTGCATCTTGTACAGAGGTATGTGATCTACACAATACAATCACATTCATGTTTTATTGTATTTCAATTTCGAGTTCAATTCGTTCATTCTAGGCCGTTGTATGGTTTTCGACTTGAATGTGCACGAATCATTTGTGTTACCACCAGAAAGGATATGGCCAAAATGTCGAGATGACCAATCGAGTCGGCCAATCAAATGCTGTCGATGAAAAGTAGAGCGTAGATCAAGAGAATAAAATAAAACATTAACGATTAGTTATTATCAAAGCTTGATTTTTGTGGCTTTGTACATTAAAATGTGTGTGCAAATACACGATGTAATACGGCTTAAGCCCGTAGGTAAGTTGTTGTAAGATTTTCTCAGTCAGTTGGTCAATTTCAATATCCACACCAATATTTACCAAAGTCATAAATGGACCTAGTTCAAGTGAAGCGTACAGTTGGATGATACTCGAGGTGGGTCCATTTATGACCTTGTTTCACACGTGATTTGTTATTTTGTTATCAATTGATTCATAATCGTTTTTATATCCTTCTAATTGATTTGTTTTTACCGTTTTTTTCTACTTCCATTGTGACGTTAAAAATGACTGAAACTACACACAAATGCGGGCCTTAATTCGACCGTTTGCATACGCTTGGTAATGGATGTATTTGCGTTAACAATTGTTTCTTGGGCAATTAAAATGTGTGTTACAGAAACAAATGACCTTGAAATCCAGATTTCATCACACAGCTTCAGAATAGCGTATTCGCAACGAATGTTGATATGAAAACAGAATAAAAAACAAATGGTTGTTAAGCAACAACAAACTCATTTCTTGTGTTTATGTTGAAATGTAAACAAATTCATGTTCAGAATTAGTATTGAACATGTCTCGCGACTGCAGCATATGAAGTGTATGTACCACAAAATTGAATTGATTGCAATTAAAACAATACATTCGGTTGAACATGAACAAATCAGAGAATCGAAATGAAAATAGACGATTCGTCATTTTAGATGTTTTGCGTAATGTATGAAGATTCAAAATTTTCTTTCATAACACATTCGTGATACATAAAACACTCCATACACCATGAAATATAGGTGAATGTAAACGGTACACCAAATAACTCAGCACTGTATGATTCATAAATTGCTTAACATATGATTCCATTGAAGAAACTACGCCGAATTATTATCAAGTCGGAGTACTACGAAAAATGTGTCATGCAATAGCCTGAAAAGATGAGATGTACTTCAAAATTTTATCTCAAGAATTTGTAGAGCAAGAGATGACATTGAACACCAACTATCATACTGTAAACAGATGAGCAAATCTATGATCGTAACGCGTTTTGTGGAGCCGGGTGCGAGAACTGCATTTTGGACTTGAATTTCGCAATCGAAATCATGCATCAAGTTGCCCAGACGCGGTTTGGTCTGGTGGAGCAAAAAAAAAAAAACACTATCGCAATTGCACTCAATATCAACTATGAATGGCGCGTGCCGTCAAAAAAGAAACAAATTAATCTAAATATAGAGGCCTTTTATTCTGCGGGTTAGCTATTCATTTAGACATATTAAGAACGCTCCATTGAATGGTTCCGATATGGTTTCATTTCCAAACAGAGAAAAAACGGTTTGTTTGACATTTTTTTCCGCCGAGTCTGAGCCGCATGTTGCATGCCAAAGCACATTCGCTTTCACAATTGACGTGGGAAAAAAGTGGTGAATCGAGTGGCAATGACATTGGGAAATCATGAATAAGCACCAAAGCATACATATGTACTGTAAATGCGAAACCACGGCTCGCCCAAAATACGTGATGACACTGATGAATGGCGAAAAAACGCCAGTGGGAGTTACCAATGGTAACTTACCATTTCAAAGTTATATGATGAGCGCGTCGTGTTATCTACCATCCACTGGATACATCGAGTTAGCCACCGAAATTCATCATTTCTGAATGGAAATTGAATGACTTTCCTGTTTTTTTTTTCTCAAGAGATTATCAAAGCGAAAACACATTTTTTTTCTGTTTTCAAATAAGTATATTCTTTTTGCATTTTATTACCATTTCTTATCTATGATCAACATTTAAATTTCTATATTTTTTTCAATAATTCTGTTAACGTAATAACAAAGAGTTCATAAAATTCTGTCAAGCCCAAACAAATGCATTTAACAGCCTAACTTAACCGATACAGTAAATACGCTTATCTCTAATTTCTTTAAAATCTATAAAACTGCAAGGGCAACAGTTTATCGTGCGTTTGAACTTATTCACATATGACTAGAGAGACGTGCATTCGATACACAATCGAACTGTTCACTTTTCTTCTTCTGTTTATTCGTACTCGTCTTCTCCTTCTCCTTCTTCTTCTTCTTCTTCTTCTTCTTCTTCCTCTGCATCATCTTCAATAATATTCTCATTTTCTTCGGCGAGTGTTTCCAAGAACCCGGTTCGGATGCCTTTTTTCGGTGAGCAAATACAAGTGTTGCCCAGATGTTTTTGAATCCATGGCAAAAAGTTTGAGACTCGTGTATAAATTCCGGGAAGTTTTGGTCGAGCACAACCTGGACAAGGTGTAAGAAATCAAAAAGTGGTGTTGGTTTAGCAAAAAAGGTAAAAAAAATGAACGATTGAAATGACAAAAAATGGAATATTTGCTTGAATTAATATGTGGTGGTCTTTTCCTTAGCATTCAATATTGAGTGAAGTAAGCGAGAATAAAAAACTATTACCTCTTCCCCAGCTCACGACGCCAATCACTTCCATGCTGCCAGTTTGGCCTTCGATGTGCATTGGACCACCTGAATCGCCTATGAGAGAGAGAGAGAGAGTAGAGAAACAAAACCATCAATCTTCTGAAATGCAATTTGGTTATGTCGTAATAATACTTACCCTGGCATGCATCTTTGCCACCATCTTTAAAACCAGCGCACATCATATTGCCGGTGAGACGTTTTTTGCCATAATCCGAATTACCACAGTCTTCGGTTGACCAAATTGGAACAATCACCTGGCGCAAATGATCCGAAGTTTGACCTTGTTCACCTGAAGCGAATAAATTTCATCATAGGATTTTCAATGCAAAAGCAATGTTACTTATCAAAAAAAAGATTCAATTTGTGTCATACCTAAACGTCCCCAGCCGGCGATCATGGCCGATTTGCCGGAGTAGTCTTCGAATTGTGTTTGTGGCAAACATGCTGGTTGAACTTTGGGTCCATATTGAACTGGTTTACTCAGCTCAAGTATGGCAATATCAAAATCAAATGTAACCGTGTCGAAATATTCATGTTCATAAATTCGACCGATTCGACGAGTATCAACGAAATCGGTGGAAATATTGTGACCGCCAATATGAATTTTGATTTCCTTTCGATCGAATGAGTGCACGCAATGGGCTGCCGTAAGGACGTGTTTGGTGGAAATGAGAGCGCCGCCACAGTAAAGTCGACCGTTTCGATAAAGTCCAACCATCCATGGATATTCATTCGCCGATGTCTGGTGTCCACCCACAATTCGATTGTTTCGGCCACGAACTCCACAAACTGTTCAAGTTCAAACGAAAAATGAAACCATTAATGTTTTTTTTCCTTCGATTTTACCCATTTTTTTCGTAGAATAAGTTCAAACGAGTTTCAAAAAAAACACGAAATTTTTGTTTACTCAAGAGATAAACACGAAAAAATGGTTATGAAATCAACACATTATCAATACCAAGTACAAGGTAACCTCTTATGTGCACTGATTAAACTGGTTTACACGAATGTGCGTCAAAAAATAAATATTGTCCATTTGATTATATCACTCGAACATTTTGTGCATCACTTTTTGTTTCACTTTCATTACACGCTCATTCATAATCAATGCGTATATTGAACGTGGAAAAATAAACTTTTTTGATATGTGTTGAATTAAAACCATTTTTCCGTTGAATTGGCCCGATTGAAGTTCATGTGATATGAACCGTAATTGAAATCACTCGCATTTTCCGAATAAAATCAATATATTCGTCAATCAACGATGCATATGTTTTTCGAATTTTTGCTATATCCATTGGGTTAATCGAAGTATAAATAATAGATTTACCGCAATCGCACGATCTATCCGCTGCAGGCAATGCAGATGCACATCCAAATATGAATGCTAATATTAATAAACGATTCATGTTTGAGTTGAGCGTTGATTTTCTCGAAATAAGTTGAACACGGATTTTTTCAAATTTTATTTTTATTTAGCGTTTTTCGCTGAATCGAAAAAAAAATTGATTCACACTGCCAATAATTTCGTTGTTTGTTAAAAATTTACCAATAATATCACACACAAAATGCACAGTTGAAAAATGAAATGAATTTGCGTTAATCCGATGTGTTTTCACTAGGAAACCTGTGTAGTGTGTGATGATTTGCTAGCCAGATTCAATCGAATTTATACGCGTTTAACAACGCATCCTCTTTGCGAACGAAAAACAAACAAATCACTGTGTACTTTGTTACATTAGCCCTAGCATTGAGAGAAAGAGACGCAAACACAAACTGATCCACATGTTCATGAGAGAATTTAAGCCAAACTAATGGAGGAACATAACATTTCTTCTTATCACTTGATTGTCGCACGCATACAATTCGCGCTGTGCACGTTTTTACACATCATTCAATTGTGCGGCATGTTCGCTATTTTCAACGGTCGGCCGTCGTATTCGTCGTCGTCGGCGGCGGCGGCAACGATGCAGCACTGTGTACACTACTCTATTTTTGACTGTGAACTGATTGGAAAATAAGCGTCGCGACAAAGCACAATAACAATTCAGTGTTTAGCAAAAGAGCGCAATTATTTAAATGTGATACTGATAACACCAACAGAACTACAGCAAATGTGACACATAAAAAATTATTGAATGGAATCGACATCACTCTCGAATTCCATTTTTTTCTGCTCTGTTTGGTTTCTCTATTCGGCTTGTTCGTTTTTCTCTCTCTCTCTCTCTCTCTCTCGTCGCACACCTGAATGTATAGCAATGACCATATATTGCACTCGATTTTTTTTCTCAGTTCAAACAGTTGTTCGGCTGGTAGGGGCCTGCCCTTGGCTATTCCGTCTACCACTTTGACACACATCACAATTTGATAATAAACTCGAAAAATTGGTTTACATTTTATGCATTGAACAATGGATGACACTCAACAGTTATTGCTTTCCTGACCAAAACACTAGTCACCGCATTGACACTTCTAGTGTCACACTATGCATTGTCACCTGAAAATCGGTAGCCACATAAATATGCAAATAAACGAGTGTTTAGTTTTAGCATTTTTGACCACATAAATGACTGTTGTACATGAATTTATGCATTTAAAAATAAACGGCGCGCGTGCGATAGATTTTTATAATATTTGCATGGCGCGTGAGAGCTAATAGAATTTTTGGTATTTAGAAATCATTGGAATCATTTAACATTACCCAAATATGCATAAATCATTTGTCATTTAAAACAACGAACCGAAATTATTGCAATATTTTATTATTTACAGTCGCATGAACTTCGAAAATCCGAGCAATTTGTCTATGATTCAATTTCATTCATGGAATTACGCCGAATTGTTCATCGCGTCGCATATTACTATGTGAAAATATGTCAAGTAGTAGCCTGAAAAGATAAAATTTAGCTTGAACGTTTTTATTTTTATCTTAGGTATTTCTTTGATGCAATATCTGGAGCAAAAGATGATTTTGAAGGCCAACTATCTTTATCAGTCAATGCAAACAAACGAAATGAAACATTTTTTCAGATAATGGATTAGTCGGCGCGTGTCGTCAAAACTGCATTTTGTACTTGAATTTCATAGTCTAAAAAATTAGGATTGTTTATTTTCACCAGACAGAAATCTGCCGTTTCTTATCATCGGAGGTAAAGCCATGCGACATCAATCAATGTAGTAGTCAATATCATATCTGAATGACACCACCTTTTTTTTGTCGGAGCATTCCATTGAGAGAGGTGCGTATCACCAAAAATGGTATGAATCGATCTAAATATAGAGGTTTTTTATTCTGCGGGCTCCCCAGTCAACGGTAACATGAAACATGCATCATTCAACGAAGCCGCTCTTTTCTATCGCACGCACACGCGCACGAAAAAAAACGGTTGGCAGTTTTTTCTGCGGTATGCAAATGCAGCGTACGACTGGAACACGTTTTTCGCGTTTGATATGGAGACAAAAAAAGAGGTAAATCGAGTACCTCGAGAAAAATTCTAATGAAGGTAATGACTTTTGCTGGCAATGACATTGACAAACGAGATAAGCGCACCCAAAAGCATTGCTAGCCCAAAATACGTGATGATAATGAAAATGCCGACTTTCTCGAATTGCCAATTTTCGATTTTGTCGAACCAGTCTTATCTTTCAATGATTTGTGTTTCACCCAGAGGATTTGATTTACCACACCGAAAATTTCCTGCGTACAAACTTAAAAATAGATTGAAGAACAGCACATCGTGAATGATATATCCAACAAAAAGTGCAACACATTCATCGAATTTCATCATTCAGTTTTAAATGCTTGCGAATATGTGTCACTGCCAAATCAGAATGATACTGCATACAAATTATTGTTTATATTGAAAGGGAAAATGTTTGGAATTAGGCGCATACACTCGGATTATGGTTATTAAATGCAAATTTGACATTGAATACATTGTCTACTGTCGTTGCCGACGCATTATGTGTCAATATTGATAACAAAAGCCATTAAGAATTGATCATATTTTTATAAAATACAGGTTACTAATAATCGACAACACTTTTTTTGTTTACAAATGAAAGTCATGTCTGTTACCATCTGTGTTCAAATTGTACACGGCGCACAAATGCATTTTTTTCGGGTCAGTGGATCAAGTTTGATTCACGTGAACACATTCATACCATCATCAGTTTCCGTTTTGTTTGTTTTTTCAATGGAAAAATGTGTGTGGATATTCGTACATTGAAATAACAAAAAGCAATGCAAATATTGAGAGGCAAATTGATGCTACTATAGTTTAGCCAGACAAGATTGGATTGAAAAAAAAAATCGTCAGGAAAAATCAATTTTAGAAAAAAAACAAGAGATGAGATGATTTTCAATTAAATTTCTCATTCATAAGTGTATCCATTAGCTTTAACCACCATATATGTAATGCTGCAGTTCATTGTTAAAGTCAAAATTGAAGAGTGGAAAATGTTTTTATGCTGACATGCAAATCATACCGTCTTCATCAAGAGCATGGAAATAAATGACATTGAAATGGAAATAAAGCGTGAGGCAAGCATATTCATTTGAATAATGAGATTCTTACAAGTGAATTTGATATGATAAAATCAATGTGTATTGAGCAAGAATTGAGTATTACGGGTGATATTTGCCAACATCTTTGAAAGATTTTCATATTGTCTAGTTTTGAATAGTTTAAATCAAATAATTGTTGAATTAATTCGATTTGACTTCAAATTCTGACTTAATTTTATATCACCCTTAAACCTTCATTGAACTGGTTTCACTGCGGTTATCTTTCGATTGGCCAATGATCTCGTTTTCCTCATATTGTACCAGAATCGTAGGGTAAAAAAAAACGAGCTCAATGATGCTCAATAAAGAAAAGCCCATAAACAATCCCAACAATCCACCGCAACTTGCTATAAAATCGGCCATTGTGCTTGCTTCTATCCGGATTATTGTAATGAAATGCGGCTTTTTGAATGATATACGAATTTTATGTTCAGAGAAACTGCAGATGGGTTGAGAAATGAAATTCACAATGGTTATTTCTTGAGTAAAAATATTTTCTGGAAAATATGAAATATCTTACTTGGGAGACCCTGAATCATCAGTCATACTTTCTGGCCATATTTCTACATCATATGTTATCGAAGTGCAGTCAGGCAAGCACTGACATTGATCAACTATGGAATTTCTGGAAAAATTCTTATCAGCTTCGTATTGGCATTGTATGTCCGATGCAGCACACACGTTCGTTTCAATATCTCCTGCGGGAAGTTTAAGTTGAATATATATACATATATAATTTTCATCAATTGTTAAATATTCAAATCATGGTGCGGCTGTTGACACTATATTTTCCTATATTTCGAATTGGCGCGCTGTGTAGTTCCGATTTGAAATGTTAAATTACATTGATGTGCCTTTGAAATTGGGGGTGCTCGCGTCGCCTCAAATGACTTTGACGTTTAACAGCCGCCACACGATTCAAATATTCCATACTCGGCATGTAGTATGTTACACATCCACACGTCTGTTTAAAGAAGTTTGCTTTGCATTCAAGCTCACAATTGCGTTGATTGTACGATTTAAAAAATCGTAACGAACGTTCAGTTCGAAAGAAACATCCTCTAGCCTGTGGTAAGTAGTTGCGTAAACCACTCGATGTCGTGATCATGCTTGGTTTGATTGAAATTGTAGAAAATTTATGTTCGACTGGAATTCGGATGAAATCGTCACCTGGTCGTGGTAATTCGTCTGGCGAGTGTATTGTAACGGTAAACCCTCTTGATGCGTCATTGCAATACTGATGATCATTATTTAGCAACACTATTAGATAAGCCAATATCGAGTATCGTAGACCAGTGCCAAATACGCGATACGGATATACGATACTCTGATCGACATTCGAGTCATAACCATCTTCTACATTCCAATGAGTTGTATTCGGATTACCGTGAACCGTCATTAGCACGGGTGTGACTCTGGAATTTGAATAGAGTTGAGCAATTGAGTGTAAAAATTCACTATGAATATCATTCTTACATATTTGTGTATATGTTACGTGAATTGAGCGAGTTGAAAGTGTAACAAAGACCTTCCTCCGTGAAAATCGGTCTGAAAGCGATTTTTCTAATTTTCCTGACTTTTGGTTTTAGATTGGTCGGTTCAATATCCCGTATAGTTTTGTAAATGGATTCACGTTGTTCAACTGTGAATTTCGGATTTGCACTCATTCTAAAGTCTTTACATAACTGAATGACTGCATTGAGTCGGGTTCTTCTACAAGACAAGATGAATACACTATTGATTACGATATCCAAATCAAATGATTAATTGCTTACGCGTCGGGTGACAAACGCAAGAATTCTGATTGATCCAAGTCCTCATCTCCATATCGAAGTAATTCAAATAATTCATACAATTTTTCATCGATTGCATCTTTTTCAAATTTTTTGGTAAAGCAAATCGTTATGGCTGAAAATAAAATCATCCCAACAGATGTGACCTTATCATTGAAGGTCATGAGTACAGACTGATTTTGCCATTTTACGCAAATATTGGAAATCACAAAAATGCAAGCCAACAAAGACGAAACAAATGTTATTATCCACCAAATTCTACAAAGGAAGTGTTTTTGTTGAATGTATGAACTAAAAATAATTGGGATGGCACACCTTTCAGCACTATTTCCCCGAGTGAAATATCGAATACCATGCACTGTTGTTTCGGAACAAAACTCTTTTACGTATTCGTAGACGCCATTGTCTTTTCCTTTGTCGGTGTCTTCATTCACTATTTGTGAATTTTGAGCCGTGTTCACTCCAATTCCGTTGGGTTGATTCAATTTGGGTACTGAGATATTTAAAGACATTTTCAGTTCTATTTTATCATTTCAAGCACAGAGAATGACAACCCATAGATCCTGAGCGTCAAACGGTCAATTACTAAATCTCATTAAAATTACAACCGTTTCTAGCTTCCGCTTTGTTGATATTATATATTTGTCAACACTATATTATGGTTTATATAGAACAATGTTCATTAGGACATTAAAATCAGATGAATAACGCGATATTCCACTTCATTTTCATTAATACAAAGCGGATTACGTGTTTTCACAACACGTTATCAAAGTCCCATCTCTTTTTGACTGCAAAACTGAATAGAAATCATGTGTTGAGTCAACACGAGTAATGAGAATTGGCTTGAATCGTTTGAATTATAAAAATCAATGTCAATAACAGACATGCGATACTTTCATTAGCAACCAATTTTGTTTCACACTCTGACTCTATATCATTTAGTGCTAAAAAACAAAAAACATATAGGAAAATTCAATCGGAAATAGTTTAACCTTTTGCACATCTCTTTTTGATCCATGAAAAACGAATGAGAACACCGATGATTTTAAATATTTAACACATTTTCTTTTGTCAACACTTTTTTCGTTCGACTAGCATCAATCGCATAAACAAAACTAGAATGGATTAAATTGATTGAATTGAATATGTTGTATGGAAATTATCACATAATTAGGCCAGGTAACTGATTTTGGAAATTTTGACTGAACAATGAATATAGCTCAGATTAAATGCAGTTTCCCATTGGATCAGATAATCAATTTTGTTTACTCAATTGCCAGCTAAAACGATGGAAAAAAGTCCACTCTCCTCAGTAGTATGAGAATTCTGTGCCGAGAATATAATTGCAGTCGAAAGACAAAAATGAAATGAATTGGGAAAAGACTGTTTTTATCTCGAATTCATCTAACAACATTATTCCCTTGCTTCCTGCAGTTGTATTTGTTTCAACGAAAATCCAAAATGCTTTATTCGAATATGAGTTTGAGCATTGAGTCTGTAGATGGTGAAGTGAATGCCGTTGGAAAAGCTCTTGAAAGGTTTTAGTACAAATTCCAGTGACTCCATCTATGACAGTGTGTACTAAAGATGATTGTCGTTATATTAGACGTTTAAAAGTGGGTAATGAATGAATTCAGAAACAAAATGCCGTTCAGAATGAAGCCATTTAAAATAAACGATTTTTATGTTTTAATTAAAAAAGAAGTCCAAGTCATAAACGAACTAAAATGCGAATATATTGGGGAAAAAGACACCCTCCAGCAAAAAAAAATATGATGAAATGGATGGAGAGATGTGCAAATGGCATGCGCAGAGAGAGCTGAGTTACGGAGTAATTGTTAACAGCTGTTTAAGTTTTTTTTCGATGAATATAGGCTTTCTCGCCTGATGTGCCTGTAAAAAGTGAAAAAAAACAACAAATCCATTTCAAAAACCTTGACCTTTTTGCACGGCACATAAAATCAAATAAAACTCATTTAATTGCTGCAAACAGCTTGGTAAGCCTTTTCATTCTCAACTCAATATATTGTCGAAATGTTCCCTAATGGATGTTTTTATTTTGGCATTTTATGACTTATAAAAATCATTTCTCAACCCAAAATCTCACTTTCGCTCTTCGCCTCGCTCTCTTGCTCGCTGCCGCTCTCTCTCTCTCTTTTTTGCAATTCGATACCGTTCGGCACATGCAAACGCGAACACAAATAAAAGTGTATGAGTATTTGCCCTGTCTTTGGCTGTCATATGTGCAATCATGTCGTCACGTAAATTGAGGATAAACTTCTCCATAGGATATTATTAGCAATTACACACACAGGCGAGGAGAGAGAGAGTGCGAGTGAGAGATAGAGAGAGTATGTGTACAGTACACATACAGTGGATGGAAAAGAAGTGAATCGCCAGCCAAGATTCTTCACACAGCTTGTAACGTGCATTCAGTCGCCAAACGTAAGCAATGGCGGGTCGTTCCTTTCTGTTTTTGCTGCGTATTTTCCAAGCGAAAAGATTTTCTGCAAAATGAAAATCATGACATTTCATTAAAAGTTGGGACAGAATTTTTTGGTTTTAGCTGAGTACCAACTAAAATTTTAACTATTCAATGTGCAAATATACTAAGCGATTCAATTAGTGTGTGTGTGTGTGATTAACGAAAAAACGAGAGAAATAATCGAAATAATTTTTCGTGGTAATGATATTGATTTTTTGTTATCCGCATGTTTTTCACAAGGAAATTGTGCAATTAGATGAAGAAAAACATACATAAACAGCCCAATATTTTCTACAAAGTTTAGTGTATGTGATTTGTGCTTACCTTTCCATACAGTTGTTGTGTTTTGGATCCGTCAAATAGAGAGAAAATAAAAGTGAAAACTCTATTTTTGGGGAAAAAATAGATACGATACACGGTGGACAAAGTGTTTGAACATGTTTCGTGTCACACGTCAATATTATTGCGACCAAAGAAATACGGTTATGTAAGAGCGGCGCGCAAAGGCGGCTCCAGTTAATCAAAACTATTTGAAATCATGTTCACACAAGTGAAGTCGTCATTGTCATCGTCGTTGTAGGTCTTTTTGTGTGTTTGTTATGTTTGTCGCTTGTCAGAACAAGCACCCAGTGATATGAGTTTATTGTTCCATTTCCACTCTTAAGGGGACGAAAGAAGAAAAAAAGACTTGAACATTTTTTTTCGTCATTCAATTAGTGTAAATGACACATGAAATGCGATAAATTTAAATGAATGTGAACAGCAAGTGAAGAGACTCATCATCCGTACGAATTATCAAAACGAAAGAAAAGAAAATCGGTTGTTTCGTATCTAAGTTAGACATCATCACGAAACTCTACTTTTCTGCAGTCAATTTTGAACTGTAGCAGCAGCAGTAATAGCGAAGACGATCACACTAACACATTTGGCAAACTTCAAGGTACCCAATTATTGATTTAATGCTAGCAAAAGGAAAAAAAAAGAAGTACATACCGAAACAAACGTATGCATAATACATGTTTCTCTCTCCTTTTTTCCGTCTCTCTTCGCATAAGATTGTATCAATTTTTCGGTGGTGTTGTGTACGATTCGCGAAATGAATCGTGTATTTACATGCAAATGTGAGTGATGTACGTGGTGGCCCGTCGCTAAATTCCACAATTCCATTCATTGATGTAGTGTGATAATTTTTTTTTCTCTCCAAGAGTCACTCACTGAAAAGAACAAAAGCAAACTTTTACGTTGTGCAAAACGTAACGCTATGCGAATGTGTGTAGTAGCTCTTTCGCATGGTTTATTGATTGGCTAACTGGACGGAAACAACAATAGCAGCAGCAACAGTAAATATAAGCTGATGATAATGTGAATGTATTGGATTGTCAAAAGGACTTATACTCTATATGGCTTTAAATATTGCAATTTTTTGAAAACGGTCGAATAAATAAGCCGAAAAGACGGATTCCTTTTTTCTCTCGATTTCTATTCGTTTTTCTCCATCTGTGTTCACTTTTTTTTCTCCCTTTCTCTTTTTCTCTGAGTAAATTTTGGTACGTGCGTCATGTGCTTTTTTCTTTCTCTCTTTCCGACAACGACGTTGCCGTCTCCACCGTCGACGATGATAGATTGCCAACGAAGCGAGCATCATTTTATGTATCGTAAAAATCACTGTCAATCGTCTTGAGATGTGTAGCTAACGGTTTGCGATATCGACAAATATACTATATATGTACGCAGTATTGACGAAAAGATGAGGTTACGTCGCGTGGCATTGAGCGCGCGTGGAGAGTCACAACCGGAAATACAAGAAGACGAGTAAAATTTTTGTTCCCTTTACATGTGTTTTATTTATGAACTCGAAACTAAACAGCATTTTTATAGCACGCTGAATGCTGTTAAATCTCATGCTCATCGACATCTTAACCGTATCGATTATTTGAAATGCCATAATTGAACAACCAATTTTTTTTTTTCTTCTCTCGTTTCGCTTGTAGAACAACAAAATCCACCCCTTTATTATATGTTCACGTATCATTTTGAATTTCGATCACGAAAGGAACGGGAAAATTATCAGCGTTTGTTTTGTTTTTGTGTGTAAATGAGGTTTTGACGAGCGATGTTTTCATGTTTGGAATTATTTTATTAAAGCATTCCATGGCTAAGGCATGCAATACAGATTAAATTATAGCTGGAATATTTGCCACCGAATGATTATTACGATTATTTATTTGTTTGCGAATCGGAATTCAAATTTATTATGAATACTTGAGCGAATTTTCGCTTCTCGTCGACAATACGAAAAAGCTGCTAGTTCACAAAAGACACTTACACTTGAACACTTGCTGTGTGTGTGTGTGTGCTTGTGGCGTTCAGAGAAACCTTGAAATATGCATGCGGACGCTTTTCCTCTTCATCCGAGAATATTTGACGCTACGATTATTATATAAATGCTGTTTGCTCGCTATTTATTCATCAAAAGTCCTACTTTTTACATGAATCTGTCTTTATGCTCAAACACATGGCGGGTGTTGTGTTTTTCTCTAATTAGACCAGCGCCTGGTAATTTAGATCTTTTCAAATGCGGGTGGAAAGAAAATAACGAAGTAAAAGAGAAAACAACAAGTAAAACGGGAAGAAGAAGGCAACGATGAAAGTATGTTTGGCTCCTTTGTGTATTAAGTATTCAATTAAGTTGATGTAAAATGGTTGTGTTGTTGGCACTTTTTTGTTCTCGAGAACGTGCTTAAACAGCAAAGTCTTCGAATTCAATTTGAAGCCATTCAATACAAAACACTTGTGCAACAACAATACGAACAAATGGAATGTGCAACGTGGAAATGCAACTGAAAAATATATGCATTCTGGCCATGGAATATGGCGACCAGCGAACGAGCCAATGTGATTTATGTCAAAGAGCGAACGAACGAACGAATAGAACAACAAGAAGTAGTGAACACAACGGAAGTGTGCACTGGAGTGGAAAACAATACGTTTCAACTAGCCGCATAACTGTAAATGAAAAGTTTTTTTTTGGTGTTATTCCAAAACAGTTTTGTTCTCTCTTCCTTTTCTCGTATCAAACTTCACCCTTGACATTAATGCTTGTGTGCACAGATTCCATCGACCAATACAATCAGTTTTGTATGGGTAATACAGCATGGGTTATGTGACCATCTTGTAAACGTAACAGTTTCACAAATGCATCGAATGTATGTGTTATAATAACGAGAATCAATTACAAAATCGAACTGAACACAGGTTCATAGAATTGGCACTTGGAAAGCGAGAGGGAGAGAGAGAGACTAAAAGTTTCAACAACCTCGTGCCAGCGATCTCTTCTTCTTTTCCCTCGGACCTAGAACGCGTTTGTTAACAGAATGACCGTGATGAGAACTGGCCCCAGAATTTATGTCAAAGCCCTTTCTATTGAATTTCAGCCATTATTTCCAAGGAAGCGATCGATTGGCGCACAAAAAAATGCCAAAACTTTTGACAGCTTCAAATGAAACATTATACGATAATAATTCATGCTGGAGCTCCATCGAATAGTTCAAATTAGTCACACAGCATTTGTACGAGCATTTTTTTTTCGTCTAAATTATGCGCAAGACATTTTTTTTTGCTGTCTACATTTTTCGCCATTAGAAGGTTTTCGGAAGAGGAAAAAAGTTCCGAACATAATTAAAGTTGTCTTAAATTTTATCAAAAAAAAAAATAAAACCACCCTTTGCTGCGACAAAAAAATGGTCAAATTTTTTTTTTCTTCGGTAGCCAATTTCTACATTACAAACATCATTTGCATTTCAGAAAGAAAAAAAACGAAATTATCAAAAGAAATTGAGTTGAACGAAGGCGCACACACATCATTTGAATAGCAAATTGTTAACTGATGAAATGCAAATAATTGAGCGCAGCTCATGTGCGAGATACGATGAACGAGAGCATATCGGATATGACGACATACCTACACAGGAGCAACAACAATTAAGATGGCACAAATACAAGCGCATCACCGATTCCATCATCATCGTCATCGACGGTAGCCGAAAACAAAGTGTGCGAGTTGTGTGTGTGCCCGAATCCAGTTCAATCTTCAGTAGTGCATTAGATTTGGTTCAGTGTAGTCATCAATTCATTTTATCCGTCATTTTCAATTTGTGCATTATAGCCCGCAAACGATTAGTGCCATTCATTTATTCATATTTGTGCGGTTTTTCATTTTGGAGCATAAATCCATTTTGTGTGTTAAAACTTCGGTTTAAAAACGAGAAACACAAATATGTGCGCATTTGATGGCGGTGCCGAAAATTTCCACCCGAAACGCAAACAAATGAACGGCTATAAATAAAGCCGGAGCATTTTTCGGTTCGTTCTGAAGGGGAAATATGCGTTGAGGTAGATATATATTTATTAGCACGATTCGGCTGGTGTTTCAATTCATGTTATATGTAAAAAAAAGGAAAATGTGAAATTTTATCTCTATTTTCGTACGCATTTGCAATCATTATGGAATGACAGAGCGACATCTTCGAATTTGAATACTCACTTCGTCATCAACAAATTTAAGCATTTTTTATTACTTTCCATTTTGGCTGTGCAATTTTATTCAAGTGCTACTGACACTAAAGTGTGTGTGTGTGGATTGTGGAATTTGAGTTCTTCGCAAAAGGTTTATATGCTTGAGGATATTGCAGTGATGTTTAAAAGACATAGTAAAATCTCGACTATCTGCCAGTCAAGTATCGACTTTTTGACGTACTCCTATGTTATACACATGCAGTTTTTTTTCCTTCGTTTTTTTTTTGTAGAACAGTGTTCCAGAGGCTGTGTTTGATGGTGTTATTCGATAAAGACATCAACATTCACTGCTACTGCTGCTATTGCTGTTGCTGAGATTCTACTCACATTGTTCATTTGCTTCCAATTTGGTTGGTGCACAGCAAGCAAATTCAATCGCTTGCCGAGGGGAACGAACTGCTCCATGTATCTGTATATCTGTTTTTTTGGTGTGTTTGTTTGTATTGAACGTGCCATCTGATTTAAGCGAAGGGTAAACTCTCGAACGCACATACACACACTACTCACACTGGTACATGCGATTGTAGCCGATTTTTATTTTCGTGTAACCCATAACATTGTATGTTGTTTGCAATACAAAAATTCAACTCTATGATTTCATTTCTCCCTATAATTTTTTACGACAGCAACACCAATCTAACTGCCAATTCAATTCCAAACTATTTTTTTTGTTCTTTCGCTTCCTTTTGTACACAAAATCGCGAAGACAATTTGCAACTCATCTATAGAAAACTTACGATGGAAAATTTCTTTTCGATTCAACATTGTTTTGTGAGATTGTATCGCGTCCGGTAATCCGGTTAAAGAAATGCGATCATAGAGATGAACTTATTTTTGAGACACGTATTCGCAAGTAATCGTTTGTTGTCATTCTATTTTTGATGCAATTTAATAGTAAAAAAAAATTGGTCAAGTCAAATCAATCAATATGAACTATATATAATTGGCGAAAAGAATAGCAACGTTGCATTTGACATACTTCACACTTGGATGGGCTAAGAAAGTTATCGAAATTCAGAGACATTCATTTTAATAGACACACGGGTGGATTTAAGTAAACCATTGATTCGATACATGGTTTTCCACTTAAGTTCAGTTTGCTTGAGTTTTAGTTAAAGTGAAGAGTTTTTCCGGTGTCTGCTCTCAGAATTCAAAGGAGGCACACTAAAAAACATATAGTGTAAAACATTAAATTTCCCACTGTGTTTTGCCATTGTAGACAAAATGTCAGTTTACCTCCATTGTATTAAAATTGTCGGCGAAATGTTATTTTACCTACATTTTTAATACACAAATATTAAAAATGTAGGTAAACTGACATTTTGCCTACAATGGCAAAACACAGTGGGTAATTTGATGTTTTACACTTTATGTTTTTTAGTTTGCCTCCTTTGAATTCTGAGAGTGTATGTATCGAAATGGTGTGTATTGCTCACAACCGAAAAGGAAGACAGAATGACACACAAAATGTGTCACTATCTTTTGATGAATCTATATACTTTGGTTGAGTGAATGAGTGATGAATATAGTCTGTCTCTCCTGGTGGTAATAGCCATTTCTGCTTTTTTAACACACACACTTACACACACAGCTGAAAGCAATTTACGTGAATCGCTCGCGTTTTTCGATGACGATAAACCGATTTGCACCGACAATGAACTGGGTGTAGCTGAACGTCTTGTTGCCAATGACGTCATATTTCGATTTATTTCTTTCATCGTGTTACTTTAATTACTTTCTGGATTGAATTTTCCGACTCGAGCTTCATTTTCCGCTTCGTATCCAAACGATGGCGATGGCCCAGTAACACAAATGGACAAAGCAGCACTTCAATAAACAGACTTAAAAGGGAACACAAAACATACACACGAAGATGTCTCCTCTTTATATTTTCATAATATAATTTTCATCCACTTGACTTTTTAATGGCTTTCACAGTTTTTTATTCGCGATCGTAAAGAAAATCCTTTAAAGAGCAGAAAAGTGAATTTTTCATTTGTTAAATGTGTCGCTGAGCATAAAAATGGGAATACAGATCTGTTATATCAAGAACCGAATATGAAAAATTATTTCGTAAAAACGCAACATGAATCTCCAGTCGACATGAATATAACATGAGCTGCGGTTGCTACAGTATTCTTATGACGCGCTTCAGTGTGTAAAAAACAAACAAAAATTATTTAACTTTTTTTCGATTTTCGGCTGTGTGACGGTCGCACCGGTCAAATCCTGAGAATTCATGGATCAACTGAAATTCCACCGGATTTATATTCTAGGCCATCAAACCAGCTGGGTGTCTACACTCCCTTTGGGAGTGACACCACGGTCCATTTTGCCGATTTACCCAGTCATTTTCGAGATATTTCCATGTTTACATTTTGCCATAGAAGCCAATGCAATAGCAGCGGCGCTCCGAGGTTTTCATACCAACTTCCCATGTAAACGTCGCAACACAGGCAAAAATCGAAAAAAAAGTTAAATTTTTTCTTCGATTCTCATACAGTATTTCATGTGCTCTATCAAATGGTGCTATCGCCACATCGAGATTCGCGCTCCTTATCACTTAATTTGCATCATGTGATAAATGCGAGTTACGTCATCAATGGCTCGGGAATCAATTGAAATGAAACATACGAAAAAGTATTCGAGTAACGAAACAATGTGATATAGATCCATTGATATGACACCATGCGAGAAGATTCGTTCATAACGACACTGCAGACAAAAAATCTATTAAAACGGAACACCGCAAAGCGAAATACTTTAAACGGCACATGCTATGTTTCATTCTTACGGATTTCTTTTCCATGTTCCACTTTAATGGATTGCTTTATTTTTGTTTCGTATCTGTGTATCGAGCGACAAACGTCTCATGTTCTTTATGAGCCCATCATTTCATCTCATTAAATCAAGAATATCTCAAAAAAATTGAAATTTCATCTTCTTTTTGAGCCATATTTTGTTCAATCAAATAAGAGGAGTAGTTTCATTGTTTCAGTCACTACAAATTGACACCTAAATTGATGGAATTCCATTTTTTGTGGAATAATTACATTTGTTCGGTTTATATTGTTCTATGTATAACTAACATCAACTCGGTATACTTACTTTTTTCCATTTCATACGCCCTCACGAAAAATATAAAGACTATAAATAAAATTAATAAAAAAAACTTCAAAAATGCTCGATAATGTGTATGTTTCAAATGATTCAAAATGGTGAACTAGTATATTATTCTTAAAATCATCATATTCAAGTAAATTAAAGGTTAATATTGACAAAAACAGGCTTAACCCATTTTCTACCAAGGTGCAAAAGTGGGTTCGAAATAAGTAACCAATAGTCTATCTAGCATAATTTTCACCTGGAAACTCCGAAAAAACTGTCATATGGGAAATTTTTTGTTTGCAGTTTTTCCGGAAGATGGATTTTCCGGAAAACCATATTTTTGTAGGCTCACAAACTGATCAATCAAAAACCGTTATGCTTTATTTAAAAATATTAACTATAAGTCTATTTAGAGTTATTTCGACATGAAAAAATGAAAAAAAATGTCAGATGGAAAATTCGTCTTGTAGTTTTCCAGAAAAGCCCCGGAAAATTTTTGTTCGATTTTTCGAACATTGGTCATTAGCTCGGGATTCTTTATTATCTCCAAACCCACCCTGGGCTTCCCTAAGTACCTCCTGAACATAGGCCCAGAGGACTTACACATTTTTAAAAATAATGTTCAACACTTGCTTTTTGAGTATATGTCTGTTTTTCTTGCCTATCTCTAGATCGAGATATGAATAGTTGTAATTTTTTGGCGTGCGCTCGCACCACAACACATTGTTACATATTTTGCTTTCGGTGTATACTTTTCTTCTTTTTTCTCTCACTCTTAATCGCAAACAGAGAGCTGAGTCCAGTGTAATTTGATACTCGCTGAGGATGACAAATGTCGAAATGCATCCGAAACAAAATTTCGTTTATAAATAAATATTCATATTGATTTATGTTTGAAGTTTGAAAAAACAAAGTCACATTAAGGTGTTTTATTTAAAATTTAATCGTAGATTGAAAAAATCTTTCCATTTCAATTCCCTTAACAAAGTGTACAGAAAAGTAAAATATCCAACATTACCATTGTTGGCAGCATATTGAATCTATTCCAATTGTTCTTCAATATTAATTTGGTTTCTTTTACCGATAAAAAGTTTGGCGACATTATTGCGACCTGAAAAATAATACAGATCAATGAAAAAGATCAAAGCGGTATTTAGTTTAGTCAGCAGTACCATAGATAACAGCTAACTGACGAGGTGTTCGATTCTCATTATTTCTAATATAAACTTTGGCTCCGTTTTTGATGAGAAGTTCAGCAACATTCTTTTGACCTTAGAAATAATTTAGATCGATGAAAAAGATCAAACCGATTCTTTATTTTGTGAAAATAACTATTCAACATTACCATTCTCAGCAGCATAATGAAGAGGAGTCTGATTAAAATCATTCACGGCATCCATATTGGCGCCTTTGTTGAGGAGAACCTCGGCGACATTTTTGTGACCTAAAAAAACCGGATGAAAGAGATCAAATCAATCGTTTCTTTAATAAGAACAAGGATTCAACATTACCACTGAATGCAGCTAAATGGAGAGCTGTGTTATTCGAAAGATCTCTAATATCAGCGTTAGCTCCATTCTTGAGAAGCACATCAGCGACACCTCCGTGACCTAAAATAATACGGATCAATGAAAGAGATCGACGGGATATGTTATTAAGTCAACCTTACCATTCATAGCTGCCAAATGAAGAGGTGTCTGTTGCCTATGATTTTTAATATCAAGATCGTTTGCTCTAGGGATGAGAACTTCAGCGATGCTCTTGTGACCTGAAAAATAATGTTTGATAGGAAAGTGCTTGACCAAAATGGGAAATTGTCTGACCAAAATGGGAAAATGTTTGACGAAAATCGGAAAATGTTTGACGAAAATCGGAAAATGTTTGACGAAAATCGGAAAATGTTTGACCAAAAACCGGAAAATGTTTGACCAAAATGGGAAAATGTTTGACGAAAATCGGAAAATGTTTGACGAACCAAATTTTATTCAAAAAAATGGAAAAACAACACATTTAGGATATGAAAATGTAGGTCTGGACCCATTCAAGGCATCTTGTGTTTGCTAGTTTTAAAATAAAAATAACTGGAATTTTTTATTTATTCGCATATTGCGAATTGGTCTATATTGCATTCACAATTTTAGAGATTCTATTATGAGCTGAATCTACTTCGAATTGAATATGTGTAAATCGCTATCTCAGTTTGGCGTTAGAGTAATGACGTGGCATAGTATGAGGTGTTTTCAAATAAACGGTTTCGTGGTTCATATCACAATCGAATCCGATGGAGAACGAAAGTTCCCGACGATTCGATGACTGAAAGCAATTTCAGCATAGAAGAAACACGCTGTTCTAACGAACACAGTGTAAAAAATGGTCATTCAACTCATAATACAATCTCTAAAATTGTGAATAAAAATAACTTTAATTTATCAAAGGTTTTAGATAATTTAACTTGAAAACTATTCATAGTTCACAATATTTCAATATGGTATTCGTTTGAATACTTGAGCAAATCTAAGGAAAATATTGAGCATTCCAATATGAACTTTACCGCTGAACGAGAATGCACTACGAAATTTATTATGTATATTAATAGATGTTAACCAAAGAATATTTTTTTAAAATTATGTAGTACAATGTATTGTAGTTCGTTGGATGGGAGGAGGAGAATTATGATTAATTATATTATTTATGTTGTGAGAGAGGTAGGAGGATTTTATCCCGCGCGCGTAGCGCGCGGAAACCCAGCCAGGGTATATCCCAGACAAAATACTGGTGGAGCAGAAATCGCGCGGCGCGAGTATTTTGTCTGGGATATACCCTGGCTGGGTTTCCGCCACTAAAGAAGCATTCTCTATTCTTATTCACATTCTTTTTTTATTATTATTATTATTATTATTCTGCACCATACAGCGTTTCTTCGCCAGAGGTGGTTTATTTGATATGAATATTCTTTTATATATAACAAACATGTGTTTTAAGATTGCTGAGCATCTCAGCATTTCGTAAGGCACGGATATATCCGAGCATATCGACGACGCATACTGTATAATACAGTGGCGTGTGTTGCTACGTGCAGCCTCAACGACTCGACCGAAGTGTGTTCAGTTGATGTGGCTGCACGCAGCAACAACATACACATTCCAGTCGTCGATATGCTCGGATATATCCGTGCCTTACGAAATGCTGAGATGCTCAGCAATCTTAAAACACATGTTTGCTATATATTTACATTATATTAAATTAATTGAAATGCTACACAGAGAAAAATAAAATCATTTCAGCGCAGCAAAATATTGTAATGTGACGAATTCCAACACATGTTGCGATTTCCACAAGAAATGTTTTGTTCCATATTCACTCAGTGAATGAGGAAATTTAACTCAAGTATTTGTCAATTGAGTGACCGTTTGCATACGTTGTCCAATTTGACAAGTATTTTCACTCAGTTTTGAGATTTTCATTTGTGTATATTTGCATAAAATTTATTACTCTCTCCATAATCTATTTCTTTTAAAATATTCATTAATTCTCTGTTTAACAGTATTTGTACTCGTGTTAAAATCAATTAAAAAAGTATCACAGACTGGAGTAGGAACATTATGATAATTCTTATTTTCTTTGTGAGTTAAAGGTGGCTTAATTGGCACCAACTTGTTATAAAAATCATTCTAAGCATTGTTTACCCATTTTTCCGCACCACAATTGAATGCATTTATACAAAATATTATTATATGGCACCAACACATCGGGAATTTAGAATGGAATCAAAAAATATATTCAATTTTTTTTAACAAATTCACATTTTTTAAAGTAAAATTCGGTTGGTCAAGCATTTTCCGATTTTCGTCAAACATTTTCCGATTTTAGTCAAACATTTTCCGATTTTTGGTCAAACATTTTCCGATTTTCGTCGAACATTTTCCGATTTTCGTCAAACATTTTCCCATTTTGGTCAGACACTTTCCCATTTTGGTCAAGCAAAATCAATTTAACCAAAAATAATTCAGATCGATGAAAAAATTAAACCAGTTTCCCATTTAGTGAAAAATAAAGTCAAGGCTGCATTGACGAATTGTAGTAGACATCACACACAACTCTGACACCCGTGTATGCTAGTCGGTTTTGTGTGTGAGATGGTTGCGATGGCTGTATATGCGACGTTTGTTTGCACGATAGTTGTGTGTGATGTCAACTGTATTGCATCGCTTTATGTTTGTCTATTGGCCGAGGCATATTCAATGCTTGCTGCTAAGTAATACTAATGCGCATAGTACTCGAAAAAAGTATTCAAAATTACCATGGGAAGCAGCATAATGAAGAGGTGTCTCTTTCTCATTAGTTTCACTATCAAGATTGGCTCCTTCGCGGATGAGAAGTTCGGTGACACTCTTGTGACCTGAACAATAACACCGATCGATGGGATAAAATCAGGTCACTCTTTTATTCAAAAACAATAAGTATTCAACGTTACCTTTCTTAGCAGCATAATGCAGAGCTGTCTCATTACAATTATTTCCAATATTAGGGTCAGCTCCTTCAGCGATGAGGTTTTTAGCTTCCTTCACTTTGCCTGAATATGAAAAATATTCATAGATCAATGAAACGGATTGAACAAAACATTCTTTTTTCAGAAAAAAAAAGTCCAAAATTACCAGCCAAAACAGCTCTATGCAGAGCTGTCTCTCCCTTTATGTCTTTTTCGTTCACTAAAATATGTATGAAAAGTTTAGCATAAATGAGGTTCCCATATCTTCGTTACAAGGTGCTTTGTATATGGAATTTAAGAGTTAAACTGGATAAATAAATGAAACTCCAATCTTACCGTTCCTCCCGGGTGGTGCTCCGCTCACATCCCCGATTAAGAACTGTGGAAATAGAATCAAAGTGATACATTTGGAATGGGAACAACGGATGAGATTAATACATTATGTATTAATAACAGTGTCCAACTGTTTTTAATAGAATAAAAGTTTCCGGTGGACATTTTTTTGGAATAGAAGAATTTTTTCAATTAAAGAACTTGGAAAAGGACACTTTTCATTTTTTAAATTATTTCAGAAAAAATTATCACAAATTGTCCACAAAAAGTATCAAACATGAAATTTTTTAAAAAAAATCGACTGAAACTGTCGACTCACCTCGGATACCATCAAGCCAATGAGCAGCAGTGTGAAAGAACTTCGACTCGGCATTTTTCTAGCTTCGAACTATTAAAAGTTTACTATGAACATATCAGTTGGTAAGAACTGTTTGATGGACATGCGAATCGAACGCATCCTCTTATATACTTCTCAAGTGTGGCCACGTCGGTTGGCAACACACTGTATGATTCAATCCACGTACAATGACGATTCTAATTAAAGCCCACAAAATATTATCGCACACATTTTTCAAGATAACAATGTCAAACAATTGATGGAATTACAATTCCCACTGTGCAGTTGTGTTTAATTTCGCGTTTCACATCAAATGTTTTGCATTGAAAATATCAGATGTTTACATTTATTCTTTCATCACCTTCTTTAAACCACTAATTCAATGTAAAAATTTAAAAAGTAAATATTGTTCACTCTTGAAGGGTTGAGGCTATGGCAGTGGCTGTTCAAATTTAAAAATTTTCACATACTCGCTGCATGCACAGAACACATTCCGTTCCAAAGTCGATTCAAAGTTGAAAAATAACCACAGATCAACCGTCGCTTACATGATGTAAATTAGAATGTGAATGATCAAACGACATGACTCATACCTTTGCGTTATATTCAGGCTCACATGCCATGGTTGCGTTGCTTTGTTTAATAGCTACAGTGTTAGTAGATGCAAGTATATACGGTATCACATTTACTTTACATCACTCAATAAGGTATAGGTAGGATACGATGATATTGATACAAATCTACGCATTCCCTTGAAAAATTACAAGCGAATCTTATGCAAAATCATATCCATACTCATTTCCATAGAAATATAGACAGCTCCTCAATTAGTTTGAAATTCCAATGAACAAACACGGAAAGAAATACTTACAATTCGATACAAATCACATGAAAAAGAAAAAAATTCTGTCACTGTCGCATCGAAGTATTTATTCTAATCGAAAAATGTATTTATTTTATTAAGTTTATCAAGCACTTTTCAAGAAGTTTTTACCTAGCATTGAATTTTCGTTTAAGCTTTACTATCTAAGTACGGTCAAACTAGTTATAATGCCAGCCGAAAATCGAAAAAAAGTAAAACAATTTTTGTTTGGATTCTTATATAGCATCGGCACATCGAAATCTCTTTGGTAAATGAATGAATGAAATCAAACTGAAAAATTCAACATGAACAGAGCAATCGAAAAAATGTAACAAAGAAGCAATATGCGAAAGAACGTAACATGGAAAATTATTTCGTAAAAACGCAACATGAATTTGCGCCACACTGAAGCGCGTCATAAGAATACTGTAGCAACCGCAGCTCATGTCACATTCATGTCGACTGGAGATTCATGTTGCGTTTTTACGAAATAATTTTTCATGTTCGGTTCTTGATAAAACAGATCTGTATTCCCATTTTTATGCTCAGCGACACAAATAGATTTTCGTTGCTTCAATGCTGATGACGTCTTGGAATTATATCACGATTATGATGAACGTTACGCGTTTTCTCTTTTTCTCTCTCATTTGTCTCGCTTGGGTGAACATGATGGAGGAAGAAGTGAAAAAAACGACAACGACAACGACAACGACAACGACAACGACGACGAATGCAACAAAAGTGTTTAATAAATGGTGAATTTCATTTGTTTTAGAATATGAAACGGTTTTGTGTACAACAGAAAATTGCAACTCATTACACTCAATTTACTATGGTGGTGCTGTTGGTGCTTCTGTTTTACATCGTGCACTTCACATCTCGCTTACTATAAATAATCGCTTCGCATCAAAACGCCAACTATGATCCAAATATTTGCACACGTGCTGTCGAAACAAAATATATATATGTGCAGCACAACTGCGTACTGCGTAATGTGCAAAAAGTATCGTGAAACTGCTCAGATTATAATAGTCCGTGTGTTATCTGTTTGTTTACAAGCAAACGCTTCAACTAAATTGAAATGTTTTTTATGTGAGAGAGAGAGAGAGAGTGAGCGGCGACAAGCGCTTTAAGTTTATTGAAAATGTCGAGTTTTCAATTTCGATCCCATGAGAATATCAACTAAAAGCGACATTAGAAAATTGCTGTGAATCCATTTGGATATGCAAGTCACTGCTTACACAGAATGACTGCGTCGTCTGCTCTCTCTCTATCTTTATTGTAGAGTTTATATCTATGTACACTTAAACCGAGCTAATACATAATGTAAAACCATTTGGTATATAAAGACCCTTTTCCGAATGTGTTATTTCAAACGTCGAAATTCGTAAAATGCCAAGAATTTCAATATTTTCGATTCATATTTATTTTCCCTATTTTCATTAGAGCTTTGGAAAAGGTAAACCAAGAAATTCCATCGAATCCAAATAAGTTATTAGTATGAACCGAAAATGAAGAGAAAAGCAAGCAAAAAAGTTCGGAACGATGCGTTGAAATCTAAAACAAATAACATCTCTGGAGATGTATTATTCGGTTTGTATCACACAAACAACTGTGGTTCAATTTAGTGGCTGTCTGTTACAAGCGCCCACAATCATGAATAAGATGAATTTTATGTGTGCAAAAATTCATGAATTGTGGGTTTCTTTAATTGATTCACATAGCCAACTGTGAATCTATGCAGCTTCACTGTGTCGCAACATGAACGAAACCTCCTCTTCTTCGGCGCCTTCTTTTTCGCCTTCATATTGTTTTTCATATTCTTCGCCATACTTGACGAATGGCCAACGGTACCAACGATAGACTCTACCATTTCAGTCAAACACTGTTTCATTCTCCATTTGAAACAATTGCGTGCCATCGTAAAATCCATTTTGATAATGTTTGTTAACAACAATTTCAATGCTTGAATCAAATTGATTGTGAAGTGTTGAACATGTTTTTCCCTCGCAACTTCTTCTACAATTTCTTTGAAGAAGTAACTCAATCCCTTTGACGCTGAAGTTTCACAGCCGTTTTCTTTTTCTTACATGGCTCACATTAATCTCAATTACCATTATGACTTGTTATGTAATGCCTGTTACAAAGTGACACGCGTACATTTTCTTCAATGGCCAATTAAATGTGAATAACACAGTTGACAAGCAACAAATTGTCATTGACTTGAAAGAAAGAACGAAACACAGTGATATTTTGTTCGACAGCAACAACAACGCTGCAACTCACACATACATCTATCTATATTCATCAAAAGCAGCAACATTATTACCTCGCATTATTAATTTCGTTTGTATAACGAATAAATTCGAATAAATGAGAATTCGCGAAATAGTTTCATTTCCATTCCCATTTCCATTTGCAAATGCAATAACATATTATTCACACACAAAAAAAAACACGAACACAGATGGCTTTCAGACGCTTCGCTAACTATTCAGGAAAACGTGTAGCATTTATTCAGTCCGAATATGTATGTTCGTCGTTTACGTAAAATTTACGTCAGCAAATATATGAATATGCAGGAGTCAGTGGCGTCGGTGTTGTCGTCGTCGTCGTTCACATCCATCGAAAATATTCGTGATTTCATTTCATCATATTTTCTCAACGAACCGTATAGCATTCATCATAGGAGTATATAAACATATTTCTCTCAATGTACATAATAACTTCTGCGTTTTTTCTCTTTAATTGCAATTGTGAAACAAATTCTCTGCGATGACGCATTTGAACTGAATAGTTGTTTTCATTGTTATTTCTTCTCTTCTCTCTATTCATTTCAGATTCACATATATCGCGGGCGCATTGGATACATTCAAAAGTTGGTTGCATCGATGAAAACCACCACACTATGTTTGCGACGTCAAATAAAATCGATAGACACAGCATATGAAACAACAACTCCAAATCAACACATTATTATCTGTTATGAAGGCAAGATTAATCGCCATAGTATCAACATTACCAGCGGCGCTAGCAATTCAGGGATAAACAGAAAACTGACGTCATTGAATAAAATACAAGTCAAATTCATTCGTGACCGACCGACCAACCGACCGGGCTAGAGAAAGAGAATTCTATTTAAACGAAACTGCCCCACGCAAGCGTCTTCATTTTTTGCCCCGTTTCTTTCATGATTATTTCTCTATAAACATAAAAAGATGCCATTAGAATTGGCGCCGTTGAGCTGAATCAAGTCTGGCCACATGCATAAATCTCGTGTTACACTTGAATTGTGAAAAATTGTAGTGGCAGTTTGAGAAAGGAAAAACGAGAAATTCTTTATTAACACCGCATTTAGTTTCAATAGTGAAAATTGCTGCAGAATATTGTGTCTTGTGCATTTGTGTCGTGTACATTGGAAAAAGAGTGGGAGAGAAAAATAACAAACAAACATAAAAAAAGTCATAGAAAATTCTAGTTACAATTCCATTTCGATTTCAATATTGTGCATTAGTTATTTATGTTTAAACAATCAAATTGTTGATCCAATTAAATCGATAAGGAGCAACAGTAGTCAAGTCAACACAGCAGACACATTTCCATCGAAGCAACAAAAAAAAATGATAAAAAGTTAGTAACATTGACATTTGAATAGTGATTACCGTTTGGCAATTCAAATTGATTTACCGTATTTGGTGCTGAGATATACTGAACAACATTGCGATCCTGAATTGGTCGATTTCGAGGTGGTCGAAACACGCGTTCGTCCGTTCGATATGCATATCGCATGTAAACGAACTGTATTTAATATTCAGTAAATCGATACCAATTATGTCAAAGTTAAATAATTTAAATCGAGCAACAAGTGAACCGTTGTTTACATTATAGCCAACGCAGTGCTCCCGTGTTCTGTGGAGAGCATTCAGTAAGCATATTAACCGCACGATCATTATTTCGAACTAATTAACACACATGTGGCTCGATCGGCGGAATAATCACACCGCCACCACTACCAAACAAAATTGAAAGAAAAAATGGTGCTGTTGCCAACCAATTCACCGAATGACGATGATGATGAACATGACAATGAAACGCAGCATCAGCTAAACTCGACAGCCATCGATTTGACGTATTGCGAAACGACGACTACGACGTTAACAATAAACAACACAGCAAACTGCCAGTCGGATAACGATGTGGAAACGTTCGGCCTTCTCCGAAATTGCAATGGACAAACGATTTCAATTAATTCTAAACAAACGAAAATGCATCACAATGCGACGACGATCGCGACCCTCAAGCGACAACAATGCCATGACAGCGACCATTTAGAAAATTCCAATCGCACGACACCATCGGGAAATCTACAACAATTGTACACTGGGCGATTCATCAACAGCAGCAGCCGACATTTGAATAAAATGCACCTAATCGCAATAATATTGTCGTATTTGTTGGCGTTTAGCATTCAAAGTATCAGCGCAAGGCCAAATGTCGACCGCAATGACGACTCAACATCTAATTGGCAAAGTGTGGCTTTAACATCGGAAAATGAAGTAAGTTAATTTCAAATTCCAAACTCGCATCCACCCACATAAATCGAATAAAATATGCAAATACGTGTTGAAAATAGCTGCACGTTTCGAAAGTCAAGAGCAGCAGCAAAAAAAAACATTAAATTGTGCTCTTATGGGTATGACATGGGTTAAAAAAGAAAAATATTTCGATTAACGTCAGAAGTTTCGGATCGATCTTCACAAAGTCAAGTATTTGGCCCAACAAAAAACACACATATTTTCACCCATTGATAACGGGCATAAATTTTTCGTATTACGTCTAGACTTAATTTGGTTCCAAGTTGGTGAAAATTATTCTACAGTTTTTGTTTATCGATTTTATTGAAGCGAACGAATTTTGTTTCAAGTGCACAGAGGGAAGAAAGGTTCAGATATTCACTACGCCCAATTTTTTTTTCCTGAAAAAAAAACAAAATTCAGATTGCTCAGACAAAATTTTTTTGGGGCCTCCATTTTACATATATTATGGAGGTTCAAAAAAATTTTTGTCTGAGAAATCTGAATTTTGGTTTTTTTTTCAGGAAAAAAAATTGGGCGTACCGAATATCTGAACATTTCTTCCCTGCGTGTGGCAATCATTGCGCAAAGTTCTTTTCTGTAAATTACAATCAGGAGTTTTCAGGTAGTTCTCTCCATTCGAATGCTCTTAAATCAAAAGTTATACGTGGAAGTGAATACAACAAGATCAAATTGGATCAATATATTTCTTGGAACATATTGATGGTACATTTTAATGATGGTACTTGAAGTGCTTGTGTCAAATACAAACAGAGAGATACAGAGAGAGAGAATCAAGCGTGTTGGTCCAACACTGTTGAGTAGATATTCTGTCGTGGTAGCGTCGTACGTAAGAGTCGTGCATGCAAATATAATCACGATGTGATCTACCGTAGCTTCGTCAATATTTCGTAATCGAAAATTCAATAAATTTCTTTGCGAAAATCTCATTTTCTTCACAACAGAGTTACAATACAATTGTTCGCATACGGCTGCTGCTGCTCGATAATATCTTTCTATACATTGAAGTTGAGATTACGTTTGATTGACACAGAACATCGTGTGTACAAAATGTTCATAGAAAAATATTTACCAAATTTATTGAAATATTTCCTAAAGCACGTTTCTGTGCCATAGATTCTGACATAGTCTAATCTCGTTGATCCTGACCCTCGGACCCATTGTCATTTTCTGGCTTTGTTTTCAAAAGTTGTTTATTTTTTGCTCCTCACTTTTGCTTCCGAGGGATCATTGAACACTAGATAGAATCGATTTCTTCCCGATTCCGATTTTACACTAGATAGAATTGATTTTTTTGACCCCCAAAGGAATTTTTGTTTTGACCCTACCTGAAATTTTTGGTGTCAGAATAGGGTGGTCCAAACTGATTTTTCCAGGTAAGGTATGTGCTCCCAATAGCTTAAAATTAAATTGGGCTCAAATCTAGCTGATTCCCATTTTCAGTTTGAAAAAATAAAAAAAAATAGGGGTCGGTGTTCCCGTACGTAAAATGGCTGTTTTTGAGCTATTTTTTAACATATACATTGATAGAAAACCCGTAGGTTATTCAAATCGAATCTGATGACATATCATTTTTAGGGTTTTTTTGGACGCTGAACACAAATCCGTTGTCAAAAATGAGCTAAAGTGGCTTTTTAAAAAAGTTTTAGTACAAAAACATGGTTTTTTTCAACAAATTCGGCCGTATGGCGAAAAAACATGGTTCAAAGTGTATTTTTAACATCAAATTCGAACTCAGCGCCTCAAATTACTTCAAGAATGACTATACTGATGACAAAAATCGAATGATCTCAGAACTAAAATTTTCTAGAAGTGTTCACGTATCGAAAAAAATCACATTTTTCCACGTATTTTTCCACCGAGAGGATAGTTTTTTATAAAGTAGCCATTTCTAGGGTTTTTGGGCCGCAGAATTCGAATCCATGCAAAAAATTTGACTAAAATCAACGATTCCAATTTTTTTAACGAAATTTCATGATTTTTTTCCTTGTTTTTTTGCAAATTTGAATTGGTTTCTATGATTGAGTCCAAACCAAGAAAAACTGCATCATTAGTTTTCAAATATTGGTCCATTTTAGCGATTTAGAGGGATGTGTATTCGCTGAGAAATAAAAAATCTCAATAATCGAATGTATCTCAATTTCTTCCATTTCTGATGGTTTTACGCATGTGTTACTTCTTTGAAATTGTTCAAGGTGCAATTTTAGGGGCTAAAAAGTCTTGATGAAACTTGTATTTAACTACAACCAGGCACAGTAAGGCCACTATGAATGAAAACCCAAATACACCAATTTTTGACTTTTCCCGCACGCAATCAAACAGATTCAAATCATAATATAAGCATAGAAAAAGTACTAAATAGCTCAGTTTGTACTAAAACTGTGCTAAAAAGGGTCCACAAGTGTTCTAAAAATGTTCAAATGTGTTAAAACAGAATACATATTTTTCAGCGAATACACATCCCTCTAAATCGCTAAAATGGACTAATATTTGAAAACTAATGATGCAGTTTTTCTTGGTTTGGACTCAATCATAGAAACCAATTCAAATTTGCCGAAGAAATGAAGAGAAAAGCCTTTTCTCGTCGACTGGTATCTTTTTTTTGGCGCAATTCCGTAGTTGGTTCAGTAATTTTACATTTTGACACGTGCAAAATCACTGTATGAAGGTCTATATCGAAAATTCTGTTCATTTTCCGTCGATTTGGTGTTTTAGTCATTGATGTTTTTGCTCATAATCCGATGTGAGAGTGCTACTTTAGCGAAAAATCTATCAAAAGTGTACACCGACGAATTTATTGACAGCAAAATGTATTCGGATTGGCTGATAATGGTCATATTTGGGTTGGACGGAAAAGATTGACTCAATATAGGCCAAGAAAATGACTTGAAAATAGTATTTTTGAGGTTTTATAGAATTATCTGTGCCGAAAATGTGAAATTTCGACCAATTTTGGCCATATATTTACCCATAACAGCTCAGTATTGCACTTTAGAGCATTGTAATATTAGCCAAAATTTTACTACTGGACACCAGCAGTAAGATTCAGTCACCTTTGTCCAGTATAATTACGATATTGTGCCAAAATTTTCGAATATTCTTCAAATAGTGATGAAATTATGGAATTTTCCTTCTACAAACCTTCTACTTCTCGTGCGAGTGGATTTTATTAGCAAAAGTATGTCGGAAAATGGCTAAAATTTATTGTTATGGCCCCAATTTTCCGATTCGGGCCGGGGAGCTGCGATATTTAAAACTTTTGGTATTTGGGCTACCCTTATTTGCAAAAAACCAAGGAAAAAAATCATGAAATTTCGTTTAAAAAATTGGAATCGTTGATTTTAGTCAATTTTTTTGCATGGATTCGAATTCTGCGGCCCAAAAAACCCCAGAAATGGCTACTTTATAAAAAACTATCCTCTCGGTGGAAAAATACGTGGAAAAATGTGATTTTTTTCGATACGTGAACACTTCTAGAAAATTTTAGTTCTGAGATCATTCGATTTTTGTCATCAGTATAGTCATTCTTGAAGTAATTTGAGGCGCTGAGTTCGAATTTGATGTTAAAAATACACTTTGAACCATGTTTTTTCGCCATACGGCCGAATTTGTTGAAAAAAACCATGTTTTTGTACTAAAACTTTTTTAAAAAGCCACTTTAGCTCATTTTTGACAACGGATTTGTGTTCAGCGTCCAAAAAAACCCTAAAAATGATATGTCATCAGATTCGATTTGAATAACCTACGGGTTTTCTATCAATGTATATGTTAAAAAATAGCTCAAAAACAGCCATTTTACGTACGGGAACACCGACCCCTATTTTTTTTTATTTTTTCAAACTGAAAATGGGAATCAGCTAGATTTGAGCCCAATTTAATTTTAAGCTATTGGGAGCACATACCTTACCTGGAAAAATCAGTTTGGACCACCCTAGTGTCAGAATGTATGTTCTGTGCAAGAAATAAAAAGCAGAAATACAGCGTAAATATACCCGAAGTAAGAAGGCAAACATCGCGAGGGAAACCTAGAGGCACGCGCACGGTTTTGCCATACCTATTAGCAATGAAAACCAACAATCCGTAATGAATGTTTACAATCATTACTACTTTTATTGACACATTCACCGATTGATGAGTAGCAATTGTTTTCCCCATCGCTTCGATTCAGCTCCCGAAAGTGACATTAAGCATGAAATGTTCACGTAAACAGAAACAAGGATAATGATGAATTTAATGATGGCCGGAAATGTTGATGATGTTGACAAGGACTGATGATTGGAAAATTGGTTTAGGGGTTAGGGCAATTATCCAGAACGAAAAAAATAAACAAATATTCTATTTTTAAACCAAATAAGAACAAATACTTCATTCACTCCCAAAAATCAGCCATATCCGTTATTAATATACCTTGCAGTAAACGCGTTCATAGTGTTTCACTGTAGTAGCAAAGTATCCTATTAAATTCCACTGTGGTATTACTACAAGAAAATTTAATAGGATACACCGCTACTACAGTGAAACACTATGAACGCGTTTACTACAAGGTATATTAATAACAGATATGGCTGATTTTCGAGAGTGTTTACTAATGTTTTCCTGCCATAGCTGATGGAATCATCCAGAGCCGACGAGGCACCGAGCGGTTTTACCAAAGTGCAAAACGAACCGCTCGATTCGGACTCAATAATCGATCACAGAAGCTACCTGTATCCATCCATATCAAATAAAAATGAATCCTCCGAAACAACCGTCGACGATAATGATCACAGCATCGGAACACCGTTCATCATATCCGTTTGGATTTTGTCTGCCAGCGTTGCAAAGATTGGATTCCATAAAGCACCGCGACTCAATCAAATCTTCCCCGAATCCTGTTTGCTCATTGTGATCGGTGTATTTATTGGCGTTCTACTACGGTATGGTACCAGACTCTATGTATCTCCGTTGACGCCAAACACATTCTTCTTGTACATGCTGCCGCCAATCATTTTCGATGCGGGCTATTTCATGCCCAATCGACTATTCTTCGATCATTTGGGTACAATTCTACTAATGGCTGTGGTTGGAACAATATTCAACATATTCACTATTGGTATGCACTCCACCTTTTTTCCAGTCTTTAATTTCGTCGACAATAAAAATGAAACCGTCTCTCCGGGTCTATAAATTGATTGGTTTTTACGGTTTTTTTTTCAGGTTCTTCCTTGTACGCCTGCAATTTATTCAATTTGTTTGGCAAACAAATTCCCGTGCTCGATATCTTTCTATTTTCATCATTGATTGCTGCCGTTGATCCGGTTGCTGTGCTGGCCGTTTTCGAGGAAATTCACGTTAATGAAATTCTGTACATTGTTGTTTTCGGCGAATCATTGTTAAATGACGCTGTTACGGTATGTGAAAGTTTTTCTCCCTCTTCCTCTTTTCGCGACTCAAATGTTTTCTCATTTCGCTTCAATTCAAATTGATTGATTGAGAGTTTTGCCCAAAATCAATGGGATTTCCAACAGGTTGTTCTGTATCATATGTGTGAAACGTACAATGAACGAGGCCTCGAATTAATTGGCGTCATGGATTTGGGCACGGGTGTCATGAATTTTCTACTGGTCGCCGTGGGTGGAACGGTAATCGGTTCGTAACAAGTTGTCCATTTTGCTTTCGGAGTGCAGACTCACTTTTTCAACTTTTTCTTGCCGAAATTCATTTTTTTTCGTTTGTTTGTGTCTGTGCACAATCATTTTTGTTCAGGTGTAATATGGGGTTTTATGACGGGATTGGTGACACGATTCACCGAAAATGTACGAGTGATTGAACCCATTTTCATCTTTATTATGGCATATCTGGCCTATTTGAATGCCGAAATGCTACACTTGAGTGGAATATTGTCGTAAGTATTACTCTTCACTTTCATTTTCATCCATCCTTTCTTCACCTTCTCTTTCTTTTCCACTCGTGGTGGTACAACGCCGTCAAACATCAAAACCGTTTAACCATCTCTCACGAGAGTTTGACCTCTTAAACACATTCGCCTGTCCGATGACAATACAATTTTTTGTTTAACGTTTGACTGATTTAGCACCGTAAACACTCCAGAGAATCCGTTACTAAGCCATTTCTTGTTTCTATTTGATTTAGTAGCCCCCATTGATTCATTTTATTTTTGTTTCGCTTTGTTTTCGCAGCATCACTTTTTGCGGCATCACCATGAAAAATTATGTGGAATCGAATATTTCGCAAAAGTCACATACAACCATAAAATACGCGTTGAAAATGATGTCAAGCTCGTCGGAAACCATTATTTTCATGTTTTTGGGCGTAGCAACTGTAAATAATCGACACGATTGGAATACGGTGTTCATTGTGCTAACGATCATTTTTTGTTCCGTTTATCGTACGATAGGTAAGCGATACAGCATATTTATTTTCGACATAATCTCCCATTCTTTGATTGAATTCTTTTCTACGATGTACGGTAATTGTATTTTTTTTTCATTCTCCAATTCGCTTCATTTGTCATTGATATTGTCGCCGGCGCCGTCGCCATCGTCATTGTCATCGTCACCACTCTCGTCGCCACAAACAGGAGTTATAATATTAAGTGCAATCGCAAATAGGTTTAGATTAAATAAATTGTCGAGAGTGGATCAATTTGTGATGTCGTATGGTGGCCTTCGCGGTGCAGTAGCATTCGCACTAGCACTATTAATCAAACAGCAGCGAGTCGAATCGCAACCGATGTTTGTAACAACAACCATTGCCGTTATTTACTTTACCGTTTTTCTGCAAGGCATCACCATCAAACCGCTTGTGAAAATTCTGAATGTAAAGCGAGCGAATAAAAAAAAACCAACGATGAATGAACGCATTCACGAACGTGTAAGTTAGACGGACGATGAGAAAATTAATTTACCTCTTTTTATTCGATTCGGACACAATTGATTTCATTTCATTTTCAGTTGATTGATCATTTGATGGCTGGCATGGAAGATATTGTGGGCAAAACTGGAAACTACCACGTGCGAGATAAATTCAAGAGATTCGACAATAAATTCATTCGTCCACTAATATTGAAACATGTTCAGGTTTGTATCAACGGCGAAATAATGTGAAAGAAAAACAAAAGTGTTGTAATTGATTTTCTCTCATGCTGTTTCTACCATCTCTCACTTTTTCTCCATCTCTTTGTTTCGCTTCAATTGAAACAGTCCGCTGAGCCGAAAATCCTTGAAACTTACTCCAAACTAACCATGAAAGATGCAATGGACTTTATGCAACGGAACCCTTCAACAATTGGTCAAATGTCTGGCACCGAATCAATGAGCGCACTGTTTCGTAACTATACGGCTGGCGGCGGAAGGTTGGCACCACCATTTTTGATGAACACATGGTAATTTCTAGCGAAACAGTGCATGCAGTTCCAAATTTGTTTTTTTTTTCTTCTACAAAATATGTGTAGAACGAAAACCAAAATTTTCCTCCCGAATTAGTGAAGAGCAAAGAAGAAAAGAATTGAAAACCAAGACAACAAGTCTATATTTATATCATGTTCTATAGAGATCAATAATCCTTTTCATATTATTATTATTCCATACAATATTTAGCTTTCGAAATCATTGTATTCAGTCGCCTATAACTAGAGTCTTTCAAATGTATTTGCAAAACCACCTCAGTCTGAGCATTCATTTAGAAAATCAATCGAAAATCCATTCATAGTATTGTGCTTGAGGCCGCCTTTGATATCATCATCACCGCAAGCAACTCTCACGAAATAGATGACTTAACCTTGAACATGTGTTACTACATCCTGTGCCGTCTAGATAAAAAACAAATAGCAAATACCTTGGCTCCTGCGCGGAGTGTGTTATTTGACTTTGAATTCTGTTTATATGTTTACAGTCAAAAATAAAAGTCCATATAGGCGGAATTTCGACTGGTAGAGGCGCCCAGTCTTATATTTCACCTGATAAATGGAGATTGGGGCGAAATTCCGATTAGATTATAAGCGGAATTCTGTCTGCAGCCCAAAATACTAGCAGATATATCGGCTGAATGCGTCTTTAGCCGAAAAAAAACCGACTAAATATAGATTTTTATTTGTTACTGTGTCCCCATGATTACTGTACAGACGTGTGCAAGGTCAAAAATTCTAGGGGGGGGGGGTGGTAAAATGATTTTGCCAGGGTCGATTCTATCTAGTGTAAAAACAGTCTCCCAAAAAAATTAAGAACAAAAAAAAAAAAAAAAAAAAAAAAAAAAAGGTCCTCACTTTTGAAAATCGATTCTATCTAGTGTTAAACAGTCAAAATTCCACAATGGGGGTCTAACATTTTGCCAATGGGTGTCGAAAAACAAGTGAAGACCTAAAAAAAAAAAAAAAGGTCCTCACTTTTGAAAATCGATTCTATCTAGTGTTAAACAGTCAAAATTCCACAATGGGGGTCTAACATTTTGCCAATGGGTGTCGAAAAACAAGTGAAGACCTAAAAAAAAAAAAGGTCCTCACTTTTGAAAATCGATTATATCTAGTGTAAATTTTTCCACATCGCTGGGGGGGTCCACATTTTGGAATCCTAGAGGGGATGTAAAACCGGAATACCCCCCCCCCCCTTGCACACGTCTGCTACTGTACGCTTTTATAGTTTGAAATAGCTCCTTATTTTATTTTTTCATTTTCTTTTGATTTTATAAATATTTTCGACAAACCGAACTGGCTTGTTTCAATGAAAACTGCTTTATTCAACCAGTGAATTGGCCTATGTCTGTTTTATTTTGACACTTAGTTAACTCGTTCTTACTGCATTTTAGCCGCATTGTGCACTGTTTTTGCTGAAATACCTTTTATCTAATGTGTTTACGTCATTTACCATTTTGAATACATATATATATGAATTGGGTTTCAATTTAGACATATAGCCTGTTATATTGTCAATGTTTCACTGTTTCGTTTTCGTATTTGTTTTTGTGCTGAAAAATAAAACAACAGCCCGAGCTTTTCGAATATCGAAAATTGCTCACGCAATCTGGACATGCAAGAGCTCGATTATAATCCATCAAAGAAGGATTTGACTGACGCCAAAATTCATCATCTTCTCGCCGAAGAGCTTAAACCATACAAACGGGTGAGTTTCTTGTTATTAAACCTTTTTTTTTCTTTACTTGTGCCCATCAACAAATTTTGTAGCTCCAAATCCAACACTGCTTTTTATCGATAAAGTCGTTGGAAACTTTGTAAAAGCGTTCTGCTATGAAAACAATCCGTTTGAAGTCGAATCACGAACCATCTGACTTGATTTCAAAACTGGTTTGAATATTGAACTAAACTCTGAAGAATTGAGGAATAAATTTTTAATAAACCGTGAAATAATTCATTACCGAACTGCTTGAACTTTTCATTAGAATATTTAAGTGATTTTATAAGCACGCGGCTAAGTGAAGCAGATAAGTTTTAACTTCCATCAACTTAAAAGCTAAAGATTTTACGTTTGTGCTCAAAAGGAGTAGCTTTTATAATGATTTTCTCTTGAGAGTATTTTGTTCGAATAAAAATATAGCCGAAATATTTTTAAAGGAAAGATATTTTCAGACAACTGAGGTCTCTACCTTCTGTAGTGACTCTTTTAGTGCCTAACAACAACCATATAATATATCTAAAATCAAATCAATTCAACGAATTCTTTTTCAATTTATTTTTTCCCATCCCGTCAATCGAAAAAAAAAAATATTTAACCATTTCCATGGAAAATTCAACGCAAAAAATGCACCATTTCTTTTTAAAACAAAAAAAAACAAAACCAAAAACACACACAAACATTAAATAGGCTTCCTGTTCATCTAAGACGCTGGTATGATTCCGAACAGTTTCAGTGTACTTTTACTGTTGTTTCTGTTACCGTTAACTTTTCGTTTTGTTTCACACAATTCCTCTTTTGTTGTATTATTTTTAGAATATACAAAAAAGAGGAAAATTATAACAAATTCTTAGCAAATTGTTAACAGTCACTCAAGTTTCAATCTCTTTTTTCGACAATTCTATGAATTATCTGCCTTTAACGAGGCATGTGGCATTTTTTTGTCTTGAACTTGAATGTGAGTTTCACATTATGTGTTGCTCTTTGTCACTCAGCCGATAGAATCACAAAGCTTCTCAGCCAAAGTGAGAGAAATTGTCGTGCAAAAGTAAATTGAATGAAAAAAGTATCAACAAAACTTGAGTGACAGTATACATTATATTGTGCCATCATTCTTTCACGCTTTTGAACATTCAATCAAAAATGCATTTATCCTTCATGATACGGATCAGTGTTGTGTTTTAAAGAAGAACGAAATAGGGTTGGTTTAATCTTAGAATCGCTCGAATTCGATGGAGTTTTTCTTCCTTTTAACGAATCGACCAATCTTGCGACTCCTCCGTAATCCGATTTGTTCCTGTTCCCACAATCAATGTAAAAAATTTAAAAGACAAGAAAAAAATGGTTACCACACCGAAAAAACTGCTGTTGCTAGCTGAATTCTATTTTTAACACGCAGCGAAGGACACATGAAGAAGAACAAAAAAAAATCGTTTAAAATTATTTACACATGCATTTTACGAGACTGTAAACCGAAACTGTATAAACTTTTCGAGTGGAAAATTGAGATAGAATCTATTTATTGTATATGTAACCGAACGAAAAACTTTTTCATTATCCATTCAAACCGACAGCAGTGCTAAATCATGTGCATACGAAGTATTTCTAGTATTTGTTTTTGTTGAAAAGAATCGACTATGTATTCAAATTGAGTTGAGCTTCAGTTTCCGTTCGCATTCACATCGATTTACAATGTCAGTTTCATAACCGCGTGGTCCATGACCGGTTTGCATGCACATTGATGTCAATCGTTCGTTGGTCGGTCATCCCTTTAAAAAATTGGAACTTTAAGCAAGACCTGAATTTCGTTTTAGAAAAGAATAAAAAAAAACATCAACAACATTCCATCTGTTCGCTGTATCTTTAGGGCGTTAATTTTTCGTTGCATTTTTCCTCGTTCTCCCTCTGTTGCTATATGTATATTGTATATACTTACTTTGTGCATATATTAATTTATTGTTTGTTATGCTCAATGAATTTTGCGATATAACGATTAAATAGAGGCTTGCTTTAATGAGAAAGAGCGAAAAAGTCTGGTTCATTTTCGAAACTAATAATTATTTATCAATGTTTGCAGCATCGACGTCTCAGCTACAGCCGGCATGCTGTTGACGATACAGATTTAACTACACAGGTTAGCAAAAGCAAAACAAAACATTGCTAACAGAAAAAATGTGAAAATATTTCGAAGAAAGATTACAATTTGGTTTCATTTTGTATCCACAGCAAGTCAATTATAAAATGCACATGAATATTCGACGAACGACCGACCGAAAGCATCACAAGCGCAGCAAGCGAGGCAGCGCCAAGGTTAGTAAATCGGATAAGTTACGTAATTCAATCTCAAGTTGATTCAACATGATTTATGAAATCGATTTCATAATTTCCCGTTTTTGATATTTGATTTTCTCATTCTTCCTCCCTTTCTCTCTCTCTCTCTCTCTCTCTCTCTCTCTCTTCGCTCGACAGGAGGGTTCGAAACAAAATCACGTGTCGTTCCCGGAATTCAAGCAAAATGGATCAGCGAAACAACTATCGCATGGTAGGAAATCGCCACACTTGTCATATCGAAATATAATTCGAAAACATTCTCACAGTCTTAACAAATATCGTAGAATAGATCTAGGTAAATAATATTTCACATTCATGCATCATCCAATGAGGTCCAATTGAAACCAACAAAAACCAAAAATATCGCTCAAGCAAAATCAATGTTTAATTCCGAATTCATCGTCTCATTGGAAAGTCAAACGTCTGAAAGTTATAAGTGCCTTAGTACGAATTATGCGAAAATAAGTTTCCAATAACATTCAATAATTATCGATTATATAATCGATGACAAAATCAATTTATCAAGAATACGCTTCAAAAATTTAACAAAGTCCTAATTGGCTTCAAGTGGAATGATATCATAATTTTGATTCTGCTTGTTCATAAGATAATAATCCGTTTAAAAACGAAAAAAAACTCCAAAAAGCTCTTTCTCTAACTCAATAAATCCATCGGAATGTTCCGAAGTCAAAGTTCAAGGTCGGCTTGAACCAATAATCGTTAGTCTTGGACGAAGCACACGGCATTTGAAAACAAAGCCGATTTCATCGAATGATAACAACCACATACGTTCACATCCGTCTTAATTCCTCATCATTCATTTAACAAGATTAAATTCCATCAATCACGGGGAAAAGCATTAATCATCCAAAGAACACCAACACCATGCACAGTGCACACAGCACCCGTTAATTGATTATAGTCTTTGTTTTACTTTGTTAATTAAAAACAGAAAATCTCCACCAACAAAACATGCACCGCACTAATAAATACCGTTGTTGTGTTCAACTTCAAAGCCCTATGCGTAGATTTGTGCTATTTTCCCCAAAGCATACTTGTGTATCGGTACTATTTTAATGGTATATTCGAAATTTTAATGGTATATTCGATGCTTTTGATAACGAAGCGATAAACATCACCACCACTGAAATTCCCTTGATAAGTCTCAAGTGTTTACCTCTCTCCGTAAAATGAACATTCGGCGAATTTTGTTGGCATGAAAATCTGTGTAGATTTGTTATTCTTTTGCTATGATCTCCACCCCATTATATTCTTTCTGGCTCTCTATCTATTTTCTGTATGTAGCGCACGTTTGCTGCACCATTAATATACATTCTCTGTACACACTCTAGTGAAATATGACCAAACCTTTTGTATCTTCTTTGCATTGCCAAAAAACACACACACACCACCACCCTACCACTTTGTAACCGAAAACCCCATTGTCTTCTTCTTTCCGCTTTACCGTTCATGTTCTTGTCCGATGTGATAAATGTCTTTCTAAAATGTTAGACTACATTAACGAAGTGCTTAATGAAACAGTTGACGATGACGAAAAACAAAATCTGCCCGATGACTGGGAGGAAGGCCTAACATTTACGGCCCGTTCATCGCGTAAGTATTCACCTTTTTTGGTTTTTGGTTGTGTGTATGTGACTTCTATTTGTGAAACTATGGTTGCGTGTGCTATTTTTTTTCATTTTGATTTTGACTTTATTTCCACGTAAATACTTTGCTGAAGAAAATCCACCTTATTATTTCTTTTCCCATTGAATTTTAATCCTCGATTTGCTAACCTGGATTACGAATGTAAAACATATTTCATATAAAATACTTGTTAAACGTTTGAAAATATATTGCGAGTACTTCACGAGATAACTTTTATACGGTTGTTTTTTTTTATTCTACTCCGAAATCCCAACCAACACCATACTCACTTCACCTTTCCCTTTCCTCTCAATGTCATCCGAGTATGTTTCGCTGAGTCTTGAAACTCACCCATTATTCCTCCAGTATATTATTTGTGCCAAGTTTATAATGAGTTTGCAATAGTATGGATTCCTTGTGGACCAACTTTCCGCTTAACCTCGCCGTAAATATTTTGAATTTATATACGTACATATCGAGCATCGTTGAAGCATGAAACAGTTTCGAGGGAATATTTTGCTTTAATTTGCGTTTTCATTTTGATTCGTGTTTTCGTTCTGTATCATTTTGAAAGTTTCATTTTGAGAACGCGGAGGAGAAATGGTTGCTCTCTGCAACGTATGCATTCTCGCAGTATGTATGTGAGCGCGGGCGTGTATGTGTTATTCCAAGGACTTGTACAGAGAAACTTTTTATTACTCAAGTATCAATTTGAAATTGTTGAATAAATTCATGATTTGTAAATAGAATTTAATTTGTATTAATTGGCTTCATATCTATCTATCTATATATATAAATATTTTATCCGTTGAGATTTGTTTTGAATGGTGTTCCAAGTTAAAACCCAATTTGTTGACCACGTAATTTTTTCTCTCTCTCTCTCTCGTATGTTGCTTATCTTCTTTCCAATTAAACACAATATTATACAAATGACGTGCGTGCGTGCGTGCGTTGCTTTGCGTTGCGTTGCGTTCGTCGTTAAATACGAATCCAAAAAAATCATTCGCAAAAATGCGATTTTCGATATAGCTGAAGAGGATGCAAAAAACAATAGCTCATTATTGGCTCATATAGCTAATTTGCCTGGATTTGATGCGTCAACAGCACGTTTTGCCACACAATATTCGACACGCAGTAGTCCCGATAAATCTGTCATGGAAATTGTACCGACGGCCGCCGAATTAATGTTACCGTGGCGACGCGATCAATCGTACCACAGTTTTGGTACGTTTTAACAGCAACCAACCAGCAAAAAGAAGCATTTTTGATTTTAATTCCTCTCTTTCCGTTTTTTTTTCATCTGTCACTCTCTCTGTTTCATTGCTAGTGATATTTCATTTCTGTTTTTTTTCTTCTTTCTTTAAATATTCAATTCAAATTTCTTACGATTGCTCATGTGTAGTTTCAATCATATCAAAACAAAAAACAAAACCAAAATTCGACCAATCAATTCGACGAGCTCAAATCCAAAATTCCAAATCTTACTCTCATGCTATATCTACTTAGTAGACCTATTTCAACTTCATACCAATTCGAATCTGATCCAAAATTGTGACCGCATCAGCAGCAGCCGCAGCAGCAGAGCAAAATGCAAGCTTTATTCGAATCATGCACAATTCAATTCGGATGAAACGAAACCAAAAAAAAAACCGTTAATGGTGTCCAAGAGATTAGCACCAGTGCTTGCTTATGGATTGGGGGCAAAAGCAACATTACTTTTTGGCTACTTTGTCCGTTTCTTTGGAAATGCATCTATTTTCTTTATTCTCTTCTTATTGCCATTCTTCAGTTTTAAAGCTTTTGGCAAATGTTCGTTCCGTTTTTTTTCGTTGCTATGTTTATTTTTGTCAGAAATCTTTCGATGTTTCAGTGTCGTTCATTCCATTGCCGAAGTTCAGTTGAATCAATCTGTAAATTCAATGCCGTTCTAGTTTTTATTTCCTCATTTGATTTCGAGTGCATTATGTTTTCTTTTCTTCTGTTTCAGTGTGTATTTTCTTAAAAAAACAATCTTATTTTTCTAGTCCATGTTCTTAGTATTGAGACTTATAACACTTGATTGATTTTGTTGAGAACTTTTTATGATCCTAAGTGCCACACACACATTTGAGTGGAGTTGATGTTTTCATTTTTGTAGAGTCCGACCTAGATTTGATTACATAGAGTCGTTTTTACCGCTTACATGGAAATACATTTTCAGTTAAATTCGAAAATCGTTTTATGACAGGTTCAAACTAAACCAGCTCTGGGTTTAATGCACGGCTTGCTATTTGGCTAAAACATTTTGAGTGCACAATTCGGATGTAAAATCGAATTTTCCATTTCGTTTAATTAACAACCAATGTCAAATCCTTTGTTTTCTTTTTGCTTTCGTATCCATGACACATTACATTTGCACGCATTTCCATACAATCGCACCGAATTTATCTGTTCAAGTCTGAATCGTAGTGCTTGTCATAGCCATATTGGTAATTTTAGTAAATTATTATAGCAAACATATGTACATTTTCCAGGTGATGATGATGATGGAGATGACGTTGAAAATGCAAACAAGCGGCTGTCCAAAGAATCAGAAGGTAGGATGCAGAAAAAAGACTGTATTTTGATCGAATTCTCTATATTATTCATTCCATTCATATAGCAGTATTGTGCAATTTACAGTATTCTCGATGTTTATTATTCTTTCCCAATGTGTTCTCTATGTTTAATTTGAATTTGATGCTACATTTTCCATGCAAATTTCTTTCGTTGATTTTATTCTACAGAATTTCGGTCATTTGTGTTGTTGTATTTGGTAATTTCAAGTTCAATGTCGTTGATTACTTTTTATTCGCAGGCGAAACACGTGTCACAACACCAACAGCAACTGAAACTCAGTTGCCTTGGAAACGTAACGAGGACAATGTTGAAGGACTTCAGCAGAATGAATTTCCAGCGTGGGCATCAAACAAAGAGTATTTGGCGTATAGTTCTCCAAGTGCAACGTTTTTAGGTAATTTGGTTTCTCGGAAAACATTGAAAGATGCTCAAGCTTAAAGACAAAATTGATTCAATAACAATAAAAAAAAAACAGAAGACACTTGAAATTAATTGGAAAATCGACACTAGAATATTAGTGATGAGGGTGAATTTGTAATGCTTTACCCAAAAAATACAGTAGTATGGCTCTCACACTGTATATGATAAACAAAATAGTTGAACATCAATGGAAAGCTAAAGGAAATACACAGACCCTGCCATTTCTTTTTTGCCACGTTTTTCTTTCGATCGCTATTTTTTGACATATTTCTACACCACTTTTAAGAGCACCCAGAACATTGAATGCAGTGCGCTCAAGTGCATGTTTTTGTAGATGTTTTTTTATTAACATTTATGACAAACAGTGTTTTTCATTACATTCCTTTCCATCAAATTCAAGCGAAAATTAATTTATACATTCCAATAGGGTTTCATCATTTTTATATCAAATTTTCACATCACATTTTTGACATAATTCAAATAATTTGCCTGCAACGATTAAAAATAGCATAGGAAAGTATACTTTGAATATATAGACTTTAGAGAATCGTGGCGCTTGTTAGAAATCCATCATTTAGATTTAGAACTAGAAGAAAAAGCGTTTAGAGATCAAATTTGACTTCACAAAGTAACGGTAAAGTGTATTATAACGGCTAGAAGTCGGTGTCACAGACTCTGACCAAAAAGTGGTGAGAACTTCTCACTGTGGACATCATTTTTTCGAATTATATTCATTGCCTTTGTCATGAATCAGAGCGTAACTTTCAAAACTCATACTAATATTAGCAAATACTTTAGTTAACAGCAGATATTCCGTTTGGCTGCATATTGAGCTGAGCTATTTTCAAATAGCTGGCTGTTTGGTACATTTTGATTTTGTGACTATCTAGCCATGCAAATTCATGTGAGATGATGAATTTGTGACACCTTTTCCAATCCCTGCCACGAATTTTTTTGTCATAAATTCATCATCTCACATGAATTTGCATGGCTAGATAGTAGACTGCTTCAAAAAAAAAA